GCTCAAATCATCACTGTAAGGAAGAAGAGTTTAGGGTTTCTATAGGGAAGGATATGTGCTAGAGTCTGGGAAAGGGATACTAGTTATTTAGGGAAAGTGTGCAAATCATCATGTTTCTGGAATTGTACATCTTGGCATCAAGGGGGCCATTTATCTCAACCACTGCAGGATCTACTGTAAAAGGGTGGTCCCTAGCTGCTTCTCTTCTTCCCTGCTCTGCGCCACCAGCCAGTTGATTTCTGTAAACAAGCTCTTTCATCATTACCTTGGGATCTGGAAACAGCTTGCAGAGTTATATGTTATATGTGGGAGTTATATGTTAAATTTGCTACAGCAAATTTATTTACCTAGTAATTGAATTTTATGCTACTGTATAAGAAAGACTATTCTAGCCACTCAATGTGGAGTATAAACTTTTTTAGGAGGAAAATGTAGAGAGGATAATGTGGCCAGGTCCCAAAAATGAAGAAAGAATTAAAGAAAGAGTGGATATGAATCCTGAGGACACTTCTATGTGTCATTTCTGCTGTCACTCTATAAGGTCACATAAGGAGCATTAATCAAAGAGGGCCTCCTGCTTCTGCTTATTATCTTATGAAAATGATCATAATATATGGCAGTTAAAATTAACATTTGACAGACATTAGTTTCAGATTCTGACCCTGACATCTCCAAGTTACGTGATTGTTCCTTCTTCTACCTGGTGAATTCCATCTGTTCTCCCATATCACTAGTTCATTCCTTTGCTATTTTCTCTATCGCTTGTATCTCATTTTTCATTTTTCTTTAATTATATTTTTCATGCTTAACTATTTCTACTTGTTTACTTTTATGTTTTCTATTTTTTATTTTTCTAATACTTTCCTTTATCTTCTCTTTTAATGTTTATAAGCCTTTAAATTATGACCACTAAGATGAGAAAAGTTTAATAAAAGAGCGTTATTTTCAAAGTCAAAAACGAGGACTAGCTTGGAGAGTAGAGGCAGAAAAGGTTCTGGTCAGTGGCACCAGCATTCCTGAAGCTTCTACACTGTTGTGAAAAATGGTTTGTGTAAATAGAAAGATTACATTATTCTATAACAAAGCGTTAGTTTCAGAAGCAGATATATGGTTATTTTCTAACATCCTAGGTAAAGAGAAAAGGTAAGGTATGTATTAGTTCCATTTAGGAGATTTTCACCTGTGTGGTCAGAGGCAATTTATCAGTGAAAAGGGTAAGAGCTAGGCCATAAAATTTATTTTAAAAGACTTTTGTGGATAGTTGGGTCTGGTCAAACATCATCAACAGTAAATAAAGGAGCATTATTTATTTCTCTGGACTGTGGCAGCATAGTGTAGGGGTTTGGAATATGGTGTGCTGGGTCTTCCGGGACCTACTAAGAAACTTCACAGCCAAACTATGTTTTGGCTGACTCTCGTCTCTACGTTTTTTCTGTATTCAAGAATGTTGATTTTTGACTTATTTTCTTCTGCCAAAACATTTTCTGGCTGCATATATTCTGACATTTCTTTTCAATAGGAAAGCAAAATCCAGAAGATGAATTATATTTTGACTAAGTTGTCTTTTGAAAAGGCTGTGTTCCTCAAATGCCCTTGCAGTCTGGCCTGTGAGTTCATTTTTTTATGGGAGTATCAGCCAGACAATGGTCTCCAGTGGAGTCTTGTCAGCTTTCATGAACGCAGGAGGTGGGATGTAAGTGAGCCCCAGGTACTTTTAAACCACAGCCAACCATTCCCATCCTACAAAATAACTTCTCCTGGTAGGGGTTCACTTTTGCTTCCCAGGAAGAAGGAATGTTAGGAGAGCAGATATTTGGGGCATGTAGAAGTAGAAGAATAGAAGCAACTACCCAAGGTCAATCATTCCCCAACATTTATTATTGTTATTTTAGCTTCTTTTTTAAAAATAATTTTTTAAGATTTATTTTTATTTATACATACAAGAACTGAGATGTGGGCCAGAGGTGCGGGAGATGAGAGGATTCACCAGAGACAGAGTGGGGAGCAGAACAGGCAAACGTACTGAAATACACTGCTAAGGGGAGCAGCAGAAGAGACAGGAGAGGTCTACTGTGCTTTGTGGGTTAGCTCCAGGCCAGAATCGAACTCATGCCACAGTGTCTGGCCATAGCTTGATAGCCCTGAGATTTTAACCCCTGGACCACCAGGGAGGCCTGTTTCAGCTTCTTACCATCATAGGTCTTCTACCTGTTATTCTTGAGGACATTTAGCCCAAAGTCTGAAATTTCACAGGAGTCAAACATAGCCCCAGAGTAATAGCAGGGGAAGAGCAAAAGCAGAAATACAATGATCCGCCTACAGCCAAGCTGAGCTCTCTCTTGACCCAGGCCAAAGCCGCCTCTGACTCAGGTTGGTTACCCAGGAAACAGGCTCTGAGTCTGAGACTGCTGAACAGAAGGTTTATTGTGGAGTACTTTGGGATCAACATCTGTGGAAGAGGAGAGGAAACAATATGGCAGAAGAAAAAAAAGGAAAATTGGGTATTGTGATGCAATACCAACAGGCTTCAGCTCACCGCCACACACAGTGCTCTAAGCTCAGAAGGTCCTTCAAAGTTATTTTGGCATAGAGCAAGTGGGTCAGGCCTTCATACCCACACTCTGACCATCCACCAAACTGGAGCTGCTCCAGGAAATAAGCATGACCTTAGGCAAGGTGACTCCACCCAGGTACTACCAAAGAATAGAAATTGAGATCTGTCTGCTTGCAGATCTGTTAGCCATTGGGAAATAAATCCTTTCTTCATGAAGAGAGAATTGGGTATCACAACACAGCACTCACTACATCAGCCCACACATTTGCCAGTTTGAAAAAGCTCATACTGCCCCTGGGGGGTTTTCACAGTTTTCTCTCTCTAGATTCTCTATTTTTTTAGGAGGAAGGGAGGATGAAAAATCGGTAATCCTTCTTGTTCAACCTTATGGTCAGAACCCCAGTGAGCACAGGAACTCCTGAGGAGCTGTGTAACTCATTTTCTTTCTGTACTCAGTCTCACAGGAGCTGTCCTCTGTGTCTCCTCTGCCCATTGTCTCTCTGTCTCTCACTCGCTGGGAGCTTCCATCTTCTCAGCAGACTGAAGCTGAGTAGGCCCTTCAAAAGTCACCAACAGCCGAGTAGAGGTGGGCTGTGGTTGAAGGAGACTCACCAAGGGCTATGCAGAGACCAGAACCCTGGGCATGGGGGAGGCTATATTTCCTATATTGCCTATGGTTTCAAAGTCTGTCCTTTCAGCCCCACAGAAGCCCCCACCATTCCTCAGGCCCTAGGTCCCAACTCAGAGCAGCATCAGATTTGCTTTCCACAAGATATTTTTCCATGGCAACAGGTGGGGAAGCCACAGGGAAGATACAATAGGAGACAGAAGCCAGTTAGACACTATTGTAGTGGGTCTCAAATGTCCTAAGTTAAAAAGACAAAAGGTGCAGGCAAACCATGGACCTGAGGCAAACAGCAGGGAAGGAGGGAGAGGGGTCCAAAGGGAAGGGGGAGGTTTCAGGTTTCCTGCCCCACCCAAGGAAGGGTGGAGGGAGGAGGAGAAGCTGGAAAGGAGACTGGGAGAAGGAAGGAAGCAGGATGAAGAGCAAGGAGAGGACCTGGAGGAAGCACATGGAGCAGAGAGATGTGAAAAAGCTGCGCTTGTGTCTCAGCCTTGGACTTGTACCAGGGGCTTGGGTAACTTGGAAGGAGACACTTGAAACAGATGTGGGTGAGAGACCCATGGGGAGGTTAACATTGGCAGCTTTTATGTTAATTTTGATTTTGTTCTTTTCCTTCCAGACTTGTCTGGCCCCTTCTTCCCCTTTCCTATGGGTCCCACCAGAAGGTACCTTAAACTTGTAGCAAGTTTTCGGGCCTCATTGCCCCTGCTTTGGGCCAGCCCAGTTTGGCTGGGCATTTACCCACAAAGGGATGGGTAATTTTGGGTGCTCTATGTGAAAACCATTTTCTCTATGCTTTCCCTTCTCTTCTTTTTTTTTCACACTAATTGCATTAAAATTCTTTTTCATTAAAGGAAATGAAACATACTCTGCACTAGAGTATGTTTTGTCTGGATGCGGTGGATGGCAGAACCTATTTAGAGCAGGTTTTGGATTCTGGGTTGCCCCTCACTCTGCCCTGTAATAAATAAAGGAGAGGGAGGAGCACAAGGAACTATGGTGATGGATCATGAATGCTGTGGGGATGGAAGAATTATGGGGACTACACCTGCGAGGAGAAATCAAATATTGTACAAAAATGAAAATGATGTAAGACAATAAAAAATAAATATAAAATATAGAAAGTCCTAAATTATTTAATGTCTCATTTTTTAAGAAGTGGAGCCTAATTCTCCTCCCCTTGAGTATAGACTAAACTCACTGACTTGCTTTTAATGAATATATTAAACCAAAATTAATGATGTATGACTTCAGAGAATAGAACACAAAAGTGAGCAAAGAAAATTAAAGAAAAAGACATAATAAAAGTAACTTGTCCTTCAAAAAGTTTATTAGTTGAAGGACTGATATGCTAACGCCAATACGGCTAATGACTTGATACTAAATAGGTCTTAACTTTGTCTTTTTTCTCTCCTAGTTTACTTTGTTTGCTTTTTTCATCTGAGTCTTTGTACATCTTGCCTTTGAGCTATCATTTCTTCCAACTATTAGAAGGCAGCCTTCTCGTCTATTTAATTTATGGGTATTAAATTTATGTGATCCAGAAGCCACCCAACTTCGCGTGTTAGTGTAGTAGGTAAATACACAGAAGAGTCCTGCTCTGAAAACATGAAAAATGTATGATATAAGGTCCAAGCATAAGAAGCCAGATCTGCTTCTAACCTAGGACATAAACCAAGATTCTAACCATGAATGTGCTTAAAGTCCTACCCAATTCAAAACGGAGAGAGAACAGGAACAGAAGTGAGGGTGCAAGCTCTGGATCTGACTCCTCCAGTTCAGTCATGTAATGCCCCAGTGTTGTGTCCTTCTCTTGACCAGGGGCCAGTCTTTTCTTCCTATTATTCCAAATACTCAGAGAAGTCAGCTAGAAGACAGACTGAACAACCAGGAGCGCACCATAGCTTTCCTGCTTGAACAAGCCTTCCGCATCAAGGAGGACATCTCTGCTTGCCTTCAGGGAGCTCAAGGCTTTCGAAAGGAGGAGTCACTTGCCAGGAAGCTACTGGAAAGCCACATCCAGACTATCACCAGCATCGTCAAGAAGCTCAGCCAAAACATTGAGGTAATTCTTTATTTTCCAAACCCTGTTGGCATCACTGTTTGAAGAGATTATAAACCACCAGTGTTTCAACTATAGAAATGGCTCACTATCATTTAGGTTGAAATGATTATACTTTGTTGCCCAAGAGAAAAATGGCTTAATTTTTTCAACCACTTGTTGATGTCAAAATGGAGAAGGAAATTATTTTCAAAAAATGCTTATTAAATGTCTATTTTGTGACATAAAAGGTAATTGTTTAACTTTATATCAGACATTGTCCTAAAATGCTTATTTTAGTCTAAATTTTCAAGAGTCTGTTAATGTAATCATTTCAAATAGAGATTTTCATAATGTCTTGGCAGCACTGGCTCACAGGCCCATCACAATGTGACCTCAATATAGCTTGGGCCACATTGGCCTCCAAACTCTTCCTAGAACATGCTAAACATGCTCTGGCTTCAGGGTGTTTGCACTTTCTATTTATTCTGGCTTTCTCAGAAATATCAAAACACTGCTAGAATGTTCTATATTTTGACCTGGGTAGTTGTTACATATTTGATTTTATTTTTCAAATCCATCCAGATATATACTTTGATTTGTATATTTTAATACATAATAGTTATACTCCCAATACAATACCCAGCAATAAGGGAATTTTTTTTCCCAGAGCTCTAGAAAACTTGCTGAGAATTTATTCTTCCATATTTTAATTCCTAGATTAACTTCGGAAAAAGACAAAGCCAAAACATTTTCCAGAAACTATAAAGTATAAAAACTTTTGTTTTGAGTGAGCTTGGCATATATGGGTATCTGCTGATGTTATTGCAATTTGTTTTATAAATGTCTCCCAACTCTGTCTATTTTTGTCTTTGTTGGTAAAGGTCTCCTCAACAGAAGGTTGGACTTTGTTTTGAAATTCATTGTTCTGGGATTTGTGTTGTGTTCTTCTATCTCCTCATTTTCAATTTTGTATAGATTTTAGTAAGGTTAGATTTTCAACTGTTGTTTTTACGCTTGTTGGCATAATTGGGGAAATGAGACTGGTAGTAGGCATTAAAAAAGAATGAGGCAGTAGGCATCAAAGGATCAAATCCAGTAAAACTCAGGAATATGAACTTCCTGTTGTGAAGCATTTTTTTTTTGTTGGGGGAGTGGCAGGTATTTGGAAATCTTCAACAGACTCTTCTACAGGGAAGTTTGGGTGCTCCAACTCAGTGCAAGTTATTATCTGCTCTGTTATGAGTCTCAGATTCAAGTCAGTAATCTTTGCTCTGTGTCCAGAACTCTGCAGTTCTTCAGCAACACAAGCCCTGACCTGGGTGCCTGCACACGCACGCCTTTATCCAGTGTAGTGCCAAGTCTCGGGACCCCAAAAGTCGGCTGAGTCAGTAGCTGTAGGGGGCTCTGTCCCACAGCTACACCTCCCTCTTGTAGTTGTGCTGCCCCATTATCACTCTAAACTAAGTTCACTTAAGGATTTTCCTACCCCTTTCCATCAGGCTAATGCTCCTATTGTGTATGGTGGTAATCAGTTTTTCCCTCTTGGTTTTTTGTTTTTGGTTTACATCAGTTTGTTTTACATGTTTGTAGGAAAGAGGCACAAAATCTTCACTCTGCCACTATCTTTCTGGACTCTATTCTTTTAAAAATCACATTGTTTCAAGCTGGCAGCTAATGACAAGTCTTAAAATTAATTTATTTTTAACTGAAGAAAAAAGAATTTTAGGTATAATATTGCTTTGTTGTATTCCCCCAACTTTTCAAGGGCTGCAATTACAATGTTCAATGTAATAATTTTGAAAGTTGAGGGAAAAGTTTTAAAATCTGGAAAAGAAAGTTCTCACAATTCCATCACCAAATGGCGACCCCTACAAACACCCAGATTCATGTCCCTCTAGTCTTTCTAGGCTGAGAAGGAGGCTGAAACTATATTTGTAAGCACAATCTTTAATATAAAATTATATCATAATTCTTTCATATGTCATTTTAAATTCTTTACATAGAAATACATTGTACCTGCTTATTTTTTTATTATTAAAATATCTGTGTGCATAAATATGCCTTATTTTTATTATTTCCAAAGCATATATTCTTAAAAGTGGAATTTCCAGGACTTAACACTCTGAAAGCTTGTAATGCATGTTGCCAGTACAGGACTCTCAACAGATACATATCAGCCTTATTGTGGAATATATTCCATTTTCTAGCCTATGCTTTTGAATGATGATCTTGTATCACATATAAGAAGAAATTAATGAGCATTTTAACTCAAAATTACAGATTTTAGAAGACCAAATTAGAGTTCGAGACCAGGTGGCCACAGGAACTAACTACGCAGTACAGGAACTGAATACCAAGCACTCTCAAGGAGTTGGAGATCTTCAGGGAAGAGTAGCCAGGTGAGAAGTCATTTGGCAGTCATTTCTGGGCCACTGAATTCTCCTTTCCAAATAAGTTTCATGTTGTAGAAAACAAGATACTATCTTTACATTGCGCTAATGTAAAGAAATGGTAGTTGAGACAGTGCATCATAGAATTTGAACGCCCCATACTACCTATAAGATCCAAGACTTCTAGGAAAGTACCCTTACATGGAATGTACAATTTGGTCCCATCCACAAGTAACAAGAGTCTTGTCTTTACAGTCCTCAGCTGTCCAAATGACAATACCCTTGCAAGCAAACATCCTCATGACCAAATATACAATCCCCAGAGGTACCCAAGTCTAAAGATGAAAAGATTTAAGATGGGGCCTCCCCTGGTGGCTCAGGCAGTTGAGCACAGCACTGTGAAGCTGTCCGCAGCGTCTGCAGTGCCAGTTCAATCCCGGCCGGCTGGCGATGGTCCCACATGGTGCAGCAGACCTCTCCTGCAGTGCCAGCTGCTTCCCTCAGCAGTATATTTTGTCAGTCTGCCTGTTCTGCTCCCTGCTCTGTCTCCGGTGAATTCTCTTACCCTTCCGCAAATCTGGCCTGTACCCCATTTCTTGTATAAATAAATAAATAAATCTTTAAAAAAATTGAAGATGTATATGAATTACATCCAAAAGTCTAACAAAATGGACTTGCTGTAAAATGGATGCAATTTTGAATAACATCTTTTGTTTGAGATTTCTAAATCAAAAGAATTACTAGTAAAAGTTCAGAAAAATCTGTAGAAATTGACAATGGCAGAACCACTCAGGTAGACACATCAAGGATGACTTGTGAATGACTACCTCTTCTGCCAGCCCTTCTTTCTTCTCTCCTGAAATACCTCCATCTCCATTTGATAAATGTTTAAGACATACTTCTCTGAGGGTAGCCATCTATTTGATTCAAGAAAAATGTATGAAGTCCTTACCATACACCAGCAGTGTGGTACGTAGGATCACACATACTCGTAAATACATACTCCTGCCTATTGCTGTTCATTCTACTTGAGAAAACAAACTCCAAATATAAACAATGAGATGAACACTGTAAATGAAAGTCTGGGGTGCTATGGGAATATCCAAATCAGTTTTGGACATAGGGAAGGCTTCCTGGAGGAGGTGACATTTGAGATGAGTTATGAATGATATGTAGCAGATAGCTGAACAAGAAATGTAGGAGAGCATTTCAAAAAGAAGGAATAAAATGTGCAAAAGAAATGAGGAATAAATTATGGTGACATATTCAAGGGCCTACCAATGAGAAGGGTATTTTAATTATGATATATAAAAGTTTGTATTTACTGAGAATTGGGCAATTGGGAGATGAAGCTAGAGAAGTGGTCCAGAGTTGGAGGGATGCTGTGGACTTTATTAGGTTATAAGTAGCCATGGGAAGGTTTAAGTAAAGGAGTGACATTTCATATTTAGTGGCATTCTAATAGCAGCTAAATTGTATGATACAGAAAAAAGGCATAGAGATGAAAGAAAGTCAATTTCAGCAATCAGTGAGGACTCTCATAGGCCTAAACTGAGCATTATCTATGAGAATCAGAGAAGGTAACAAACAACGCAAAAATTACGAAAATCAAATCTATAGGATTACTTCTTAAGTGTGTTCAGTTGTACATACACATACAAATATACATTATTTATATTATTTATGAATATATATTCATACTTATAAAAAATTTTATATTATTAGTGTATGTCCTACATACAAAGAATATTTCCAATATCTGGGTAAGTTATGAAGTTAATAAAATAAACACTAATAACTCTTACCCCTTCTTAGATATGCTTTAGGTATAATATTGCTCTGTATAATATAATTTCACAAAGAAAATAAACACCAAACATCTGTTTTGAATGCAAATTGGCATTTTATTCAATTTGGTGGTATGCTGCTGAAACTACAACCATTTTTCTTCCTGCAAACCATTTATAAACCTATTATTTTATTCCTGTAAACCTTATCTTAATATAAGTCAAAATAACAAAGAGGTTTAAATGAAACCAAGAGATGAGTGGAATAATATCAAACAGAAATTATATATTGGAGACAAATAAAACTCATTCAGCATAGACCTAATATAGACTTAATAGGTTTTCCTGAAGAAGAAACAGAACAAATTCTTAAGAAAATAAATGTATATGAGAATAAGTTTCTAGAAACTTATTTGAATCAAAAGGGAAAACTGTGACCCCAGAAAAATTTATATGAGAAAAATGAAACCAAGATATCCTGGCTTAAATTACTGAACATCAAGGATAGAAAATCTTTATTTAAAAAATTAAATAAAGGGCCTCCCCTGGTGGCACAGTGGTTGGGTGCTGGGCTGCGGAGCTGCCTGCAGCCTCTGCAGCGCCTGTTTGATCCCCAGCCTCCCGCGAGGGTCCCACATGGCGAGACCTCTCCTGCCGCCGGCTGCTCCCCTCAGCGGTGTATTTCGTCAGTCTGCCAGTTCCCCACTCTGACTCTGGTGAATTTTCTCACCCTCCACGCTTCTGACTGTACCCAGTGCTTGTATAAATAAATAAACTTTTAAAAAAAAATTTAAAAATTAAATAAGTAGACAAAATAAATCACATAAAAGGGGAAAATGTAGTCACCTCAAACTTCTCCACCTCAACCATTCATAAAAGAATGAAGTAACATTTGTCATAGTCTAACAAAAGAAACATTACATAAATAACATTCTATATATGTATGTGTGCATATATATATGTATATATATATATATATCGGCATGCATGTGTTTCTATATATGAGAATACATACGTACACAGACAGAGTAATGATGAATGGAATGCTAACCAAATATTAGCAATGATCATTCATGAAAACTGATCATTCATGAAAATCATTCATTCATGAAATAGTGTTAACTCTCCTCTTTTTTTTATTATGTGAAACATTTTCATAATGGTCTTGTGTTATTTTCATGTAAACAATGAAGCCATCCCAAAGAAAGAGCAAAAGAGAAACTTCCTTTGAAATATAGAGTCTAGCTTTGAAAAACCACTAATCCTGACTTCAATGTGTGGGATTAGACTGGTGGGGTTGGGTGAGATGAAAATAAAGAGATGACAGCTCTCAAGTTAGTAAATAAATAATAGCTGCTGATCTAGTGTGAGTGCTTCCTATGTGCCAGGTAGTGGGAGAATTGATTACATCCTTTCATCCTCAAATAACCCTGTGAAGTAACATTATTCAGGACAGCTATGTAGGTTTTGAAGATTAAGCACAGAGCAATTCGAGACACTCCTCTGTCTCCCAGGTGTCTGGCAATCTCTGGAGTTGGATGATAGACCATTGTGCAGCTATATGTAATGACCTCCACCATGGTACCCTCTTTCCATAGATTACAAAAACTGAAAAACATAGAGACTTAGAAGTTAAGATCTAGGAGTAGCAGAAGTCAGATTTAAAACCTGGTCTGAAATCAAAGACCAAATTCTTTTTTTTTTTTTTTTTAAGATTTATTTATTTATTTATTTATACAAGCACTGGGTACAGTCAGAAGTGCAGGAGGGTGAGAGAATTCACCAGAGTGGTGAACAGAACAGGCAAGCCGATGAAATACACTGCTGAGGGGAGCAGCGGGCGGCAGGAGAGGTCTGTCGCGCCATGTGGGATCCTTGCTGGCAGGCGGGGATCGAACCAGCACTGCAGAGGCTGCAGGCAGCTTCGCAGTCCAGTGCTTTTACCTTCGGCCCCATGGGGTGAGGCCCTTTACCTTCGCTGCTTGCCAGTGTATTATCTGGCTGGGGCATCAATTCAACCGCTGCGCCACCAGGGGAGGCCCAGAGATCAAATTCTTAACCATTAGCCTACACTGCCCAAGCCAGTAGTCCCTGAATAAGGGGCAGGGTGGGGACTAGAGGGAAAGGTGGCAGGGAGTGGTGATAGCAGTAACCACTCCTATGTACTGACCAATAACAGGTTGTTCTAATAATAATAGTTTATATATACAAATGTGAGAAATGGCTTTTACTGCATACCATCCAGCTCCCATTTTTGATCAGATCAATTCCTAAGTTTTTCTCTCTCTGCATCCCTCAACTCCCCTACAACAGTTACTAGTACCCCTTCAAGGGATTGCTCAGGCAAAATGACCCTACTAACCCACCTTTGGCTCAAATTTGGCACCACAAACCTGAAAAAAGAAATTCATTCTGGATCCTAAAAAATGTTGATAGACATGAAACAAACAATATTGATAACACTTAGCATGACAACATGAAAATGTGGTTCCTAATAAATACTACTGATGACAAGTTATTTCATTAAATGACAAACTTTGATATTGTAGATACAAAAGACACAGCCCTTCGGTACACTACACTTGCATGTATGAGTGTATTGAAGCTATGCATCAATACAGTATACAGTATTTGTAAACTTTCCTCTCCAGAAAGAGGCCATATTTGATGAGAGTGGGGTGGGCTTCCATGACAAGCTAAGAAGAAGGTTAAACTTTTTTTTTATTTAGTTTTTTTAAGATTTATTTATTTATTTATACAAGAACTGGGGTACAGGCCAGAGGTGTGGGAGGTGAGAGGATTCACCAAAGACAGAGTGGGGAACAGAACAGGCAGACTAACCGAAGGATACTGCTGAGGGGAGCAGCGGGCAAGTCAGGAGAGGTCTGTTGTGCCATGTAGGTTGCTCCCTGGAAGGCTGGGGATCAAACTCATGCTGCAGAGGCTGCAGAGAGCTTAACCCCTTGCACCACCAGGGAGGCCCCAAGAAGGTTAATCTTCAACTCTAACCCCATTTTACTAGAGTTCCTTAGATTACCACATGCAACCTTATGAGTCAAAGCTTCATTTAGAAGTTACTGTGAATTGTTTTTCTCCTAAAAACATTGAGATCCTATACTTCTCCTGCCTGAAGGATAAATCTTATATTGCACAAAAATGAACAATGATGTAAGAAAACAAAAATAAATTAAAAACAAAACAAAACAAAACAAAAAAACCACTGAGACAACTCAAGGAGTAGGTGATTTGATAGAGGCTGAGAGGAGGGAAATTGCTTTTTTGAAGATGACTCCAGAGGGCTGGGACACTTTTTCTAGACTGAAGGGTATTAATAATGTGGGACCAAGGAAAAAGGCTAAAAGAAGGAAATTGGATTCAGAATTTAATATAGAAAAGGAACATTTTTCAATTTACATAACCATAGGCAGTAGGAAATATTCCCAAAACATCAAAATCTGTGAGAATCCTAAGACTAAATTAATATATCAGGCTGAAAATCTAAAATTTTCCCCAATTTATTCCAATGTCTTCGTCTCAATTATTCCAACTCATCCTGCTTTTAGTCAATGTTTCATTGTTCAGTCTGGGTTCTGTCCCACCAGGAAGAGATGAAAATGAACTAGGGCATTCCTTTAGCTGCTGCTATATCTACTAACTCACTAGCAAACAACTTTAGAATTTTTTGCCATCAAATTAATATACAGACCCTGTAATATTTAATACTGTTGGATTATATGCAATCAAACCTAATCTTTTGCTTACCCACAAAAAGTCAAATTTTGAATCTCAAAAATTGTATTTATGTGAAGGAGTCTTATTTAAGATGGCAGTCAAGGTATGGGCAGAGTAGTCGCCCCAAAAACCAACTCCCTGAAATGTGGGTGTGTTAGGATTATATAAGGAGTGAAGGAACATCAGGGAAGTGCAAGGCTTCATATTTCCAGGCCCAAGGAGGTGCCCAGCAGTCTAGGTGACATGAGTGAAGGTGCCTGACTTCCCTCAGCAAGATGTTTCTGTTACAGATGTGGGAGAGGGGCGCCCTGTTACCCCAAAAACCCGTATAGGTTTGGGTTCTGCCATCCACTGCATTAAGACAAAACATGTAGACCTTAAATGAAAAGGAAGTTTAATACAATTAGTGTGTAATACAGAAAAGACAAAGAATATAGTTTTTAAATCAAGCACCCAGAGTTAACCCATCCCCTTGTCCACCCAAGTGGGATTGGCCCAAAGCAAGACCTGAAAGTCTGCACAAGTCTAAAAGCACTTTCCGGCGGAGAACCATAAAGAAGGGTCAAAAACAGTCCGACTCTAAATCTAGAAGGAAAGAGCAAAATCAAGATAAAAGCCGCCAACGTTAACCTCCACATGGATCTCTCACCCACATCTGTTCCAACCAGCCCAGGACCAAGAAGCAAGCACAGTTTCTTCATGTGTCTCTCTGCTCTACATGCCTCCTCCAGGTCTCCTTCTTGCTCTCCATCCTGCTTCCTTCCCACTTCAGTCTCCTCTCCAGTTTCTTCTCCTCCTTGCTCAGCTCCACCCTCCCTTGGGTGGGGCTGAGAACCTGAACCTCCCCATTTCCTGGGGACCACCCTGTTACATTTCCTCAGATGTTTGTTTCTGATACCACAATCAACCTCAAATGGACAGAGAGAATTTTACTAAGGATGTAACACAATCAATTTTCCATGTTCCTGGGGGTGCAGGTGGAATCAGTTAATGGTTAATCACCAGGAGCGGGGAGGGAGAACACCTCAGTGAGTTAACTGTTAATCTTAAAGAGGGAAAGCAAATGGATGGTAAGAGTTGAATTCTGCTTATTCCTACATTTTTACTCTAGGGTAGATTTTTTTGTTGCAAAGTGGAGGTGATCTGGCTACAGTATTAAAATACTGTGAACTGGACCTCCCTGGTGGCACAAGGGGCTAACTTGTTACACTATGAAGTAATCTGCAGCCTCTGCAGCACTAGTCGGATACTCTGTGGGCCAGAGAGAAACCCACATGATGAGGCAGACCTCTCCTGTCTCGGCTGCTGCTCCCCTCAACAGTGTGCTTCTATCAATCTGCCTGTTCTGTTTCCCATTCCTCTGTCTCTGGTGATGCCTCTCACCCCCCCACATCTCTGGCCTGTACCCCAGCTCTTGTATGCATAAATAAATAAATCTTTAAAAAAAATTTAAAAAAAAATTAAAAAAATACTGTGAACCTATTGCCTCACAACCAGTTTCCATCTTGTCACTAGATGTGATTCCAGCATTGTGAAGCTTTCTGGAGACATTCACTTCATCAGGCATGAACATCGGCGAGTTGAAAAAACAATTCAAGAGCTCTTGTCTGCCCTAGAAACTGTTTCTAAGAACTTGGATATGAAGGTAACTGAAAATAGAAGGAACTCTTATATGTGTTACTGCCAGAAGTAAGATCATTATAGCTTATCAAAATGTCCTGTCAAGCAGTAATTGTTCAAAGAACTCTTTTCTCCAAAGGGATTTAAATATAACAGTTCATGAATACACAGTCTGAGTACAGGTCAGTACTATCCACAGATTTCTAGCAAGTAGCTATATTCCAGCAATTACTCACTGTAAACATATACCGCTTGATTCAACTCTTGCCATTATAGCCTTATTTTCTGGATTACCCTCAAATATTGTAGTACGAGGGGTTATAAGCAAAGAAATTTCCCATACAAGCTATTATTATTAAAATTCCAACATAAATGTGAGTTGATCATATTATATCCCTACAATGGGTTATATCTTTTGCAAAATAATATACAAGTCTATTAGCTTGGATAAAATCATCTTTACACTGGCTCCTGCTTATCTCTCCAGCTCTTTGGGAACTTCTTGTGCTTCCAGACTTTCCCTTTATACCCAGTGATCCTGAACGACTGAAAGTAGTTCACTCATGCCAAGATATTGCCCGGCATCCGTTGGTCATGCTCATTTCCACTTGCAATCTCTCAGTTTCTCATCTTCCCAGTCAATGGTTTAACTCAAGGAGTCCACACAAACTCTCCTGTGCCCTACTTTGTGAAACAAACACATCTCTTCGGGAGTTATCTGGACAGAACAAAGTAGACATCCTTGGGGAATTGTGGGACATGACAGTTTGGTGCTTGATTATTTGTCCATGGGAGCCACAAGCAAAATGTAAACAGGGACACATTGTTTTATCTCAGTCTCATTGGGTAACTCTTGTCCACCCCTCCATGTACCCATCAAATAAGCTCTAATAGTTTATTAGTTGATTCTCTTCATTTGTCAAGGTATGAAATCATAGTAATTGAATCATGACAATTTTACCTCTGGTTTTCTCATTTAAATCCTTATTACCTATTTCTTAAGGCCTTAACCAGAACTTCAAGAGAGCTCTGTTAAATAAAAGGCACAGGGGACAGCTTATATGGCTCTTAATTATGTTGGGAATGTCTTTGTTTTTGCTGTTGGCTATTGGTTTGATGCATTTTAATCATGATAAGGAAGTTTCCATCCATTCCAACTTATTTTTTATTTGGACTAAACATTAATTTTATAAAATGCCTTTTAGACCTCAAAGAGTGCCCATTTGGTTGTTTTTGGTTTGGGTGTTTATGTCTTTGGCTTCCTCCTGTGCTATGTTAATACATTTCCCAATTCAGAAACATTCTTGCATTTTCTGCATTTCAGTGCAGTCATTGCACAATATTTGATTTTGCATCTAATTTCAAAAGTGAAGTGGGGCTGTAGTGTCTGTCTCTCATCTTGGCATTTTCTTCCAAGGCAACATATTCATATAGTCCAAAAATCAAAGGAACAGAAGATAGTATGCCTTGAGAATTTTGACTCCAATTTCTGTCACAAATCATCTCATTCTTTCATGCCCCTGTTATTTTCATTAGTCTCTTGTGGATCCTTTTCAGTATGCCTTTAGGCATATACAAGCAAATAAATATATATTCGTATTTCCCTTTATATTACACAAAGATAGTATAATATATACATATATAACATATATAGTTAAATTATATATATATAATTATCATGTACTTGTTTGTTTTTTTGACTACACAAATATATCCTGAAGCTCCTCCGTATCAGGATAGCACTACATAGAGAACTTCCTCATTCTTTTCTACAACTGCACACTCTTTCTCTGTCTATGGTAGTTCATTAGTCTGCCTCTGGGCAATGGATGTTTCAATATTTTGCTCTTTCAAACAGTGCTGCAGAGTTTAATATTACACTTACATCATTTTGTGTGTATGTAAGTATGACCACAGGAGAAATACCCAGAAGTGGCATAGCAGGCTCAAAAGTTATTTTGAAAGATCTTGCTCTATGTCAGGCTTTTACCAAACCCACCACGAAGGCACCTATAGTCCTCTACCAGTTTGTTTGACCCCATACACACTTTGTTGTCCACCCTGGCTCCCTCTCCCTCCAGTACCCTCAATTTTATGGTCAGATTTCTAAGGTTTGTTTTAGGATTGGTTTTGTCTGACCTTTTGTTTTGTTTCTGTGTATTCCACATGAGTGGAACCATCGACTATTTGACTTTCTCTTTGTAACTTATTTTGTTTGGCACAACTTATATAGCCCCATTCATGTTGTGTGTATCATACCATATCTTCTTAATATATTCATCTGTCCTTAGGTACTTAGGTTCCCATAATGATTATTGTAAGTGGTACTACAATGAACATAGGAATACTTATATCCTTTTGAATTAGTGTTTTTGCATTCTGTGGGTAGATATCTAGGAGTAGGAATTTTGCATCATATGGTAGATCTATCTTTAATATTTTGAGAAGCTTTCATACTGTTTCAATAGGGGCTGGACCAGTCTACATTCCCACCAACAGTGTATGAGCTTCTGGCCTTTCAATGTGGCCCAGTCTAATGGCAGTGAGGTGGCATCTCGATGTGGTTTTGATTTACATTTCCTTAATGATAAGTGATGATCAGTATTTTTACATGGGCCTATTGACCATCTGTATGTCTTCTTTGGAGAAGTGCTATTTAGCTCTGTCCACTCTTGATTGAATTATTTTCTTCTTGAATTGTATGAGCTCCTTGTAGGGCCCCTTCATCCTGCTTTCCTTTGCTTGGTTTCTCATTCTTTTTATAACTTTGTGAAATAAATGGTTAGTCTGCATAGCTTCATACTGTCTTGTATAATTGTGAAAAAATTAAGTTCCACAAATTTATTTCTGATTATAGATGTGGCTGTGTCTACTTGATATGAAATATTCTCATTATCCTTTGTTATATAAATTGTGATTAGAGAGTAGATTTACTCTCTGATACTTGTAGAGATGTGTAAGAGATTTATTGAGGGGAAAAACTAGAGGGATCTGGAAATGAAGAAAGCAAAGAGTCAGCAATATGGCCTGATTTTTATGAAAAAGACAGCAGATCTTAAACAGCAGTGCCATCCTAACTAAGTTTTAAGTTCCTTGTCCCAGTGTCATTCATCAAAGGATAGCTGCTCAGACATGGCTGGGAGCAGTCAGTGTGAAGCATGTCCAGACATGTGGTCACAGCCAATTATGATCCTCTGTTTTTCATGTGAAAATTTTCATGTCCAACACTGAAATTAAAAAAAGAATTTAGGGCCTCCCCAGTGGCACAGCGGTTGAGCCCTGGGTTGTGAAGCTGCCCGCAGCCTCTGCAGCACCGGTTCTATCCCCGGCCACCAGGTGAGGGTCCCACATGGCGCGCAGACCTCTCCTGCCACCCGCTGCTCCCCTCAGCAGTGTACTTGGTCAGTCTGCCTGCTCTGCTCTCCGCTCTGACTCTGGTGGGTTCTCTCACCCTCCCACACTTCTGACTGTGCCCAGTGCTTGTATAGATAAATAAAAATAAAATCTTAAAAAAAAAATAGAATTTAAAAGGTTTGTTACTCAAATGGTTAAGTTCTTGTTTCTTTATACCTTTCACACTAATTTCTAGTTTTAGCACAATGTGGTTAAAGTTATGATCTGTGCTTTTCCTGCTATTTGGAATAAATTGAGGTTTCCTTTATAGTCTCCTATGTGTTTAGTTGTTGTGAACGCTCAGTGGGCACTGGGAAGGAACATTGCTGTTTGGAAGTTAGAATGTTTGCGATATAAGCCTACTAAATAAACAGTATTTTTCATATCCTCCTATGTTCTTATATTTTACTTATTTGACCAGGAAAGAGTGAAGAGAAATTAAAAATCACTAATATTGTCTCTATTAGTTTACCTTTGTAATTCCTCAGTTGTGTCTTCACAGTTCAATATGGAAGGCAAATAAGCATTCAAAACTATTTTTCACTATGGATTTTACTTTTTCATCTATAAAAAGATGATCATCTATGAAAGTCCACTTAATGTATTTTGCTTTGAACAATAGTCTCTCTAACAGTATTTCTCTGCCTTGCTTTCTTTTCCTTTGTTTTTGCCAGGTATGTATTTGCCTGTCATGTTATTGATAGCAGTTCTGCTTTTAAGTGTACCTCCTATAAACCGCCATTCAGGTGCTATTGGTTACCCACTCAACAGTTATCTATTCAAACCTTTCCATTATTCATCTCTGTGGTTTTTTTTTAAGAAAACTCCAATTTTGTTAACTATCCACCCGCCTCCATTTGACTATCTCAAGAGCTGAAATCTTTTTGGTCAAATCCAATCACATACTTCCATTCCCTTTGACAGTGATTAATTTGGGTATGATTATGAGTTATGATTCTGCCTCTATTTTCTAATCCAGTCCTTTTATTAAAGAAAATGCCTGAATGTTTCTGCCAATGGAGAAGGTGTCCTTATCCTAACCTCCAGGACCGGAACTTGTTTTTCCCTCTTCTTCCATGCCCTACATCATTTCACTTGGGATTCACTTGTGCTTATGTCAGAATCCTAACCTAGAAGTTCCTGAGGCCTAATCTTAGGCCAGTTTTAGGCTCTGAACCTACTTGTGGCTTACATTGTTCACCATGGAGTTAGAAAATAAATATATAACAAAGGTAATTTTGATAAACTATGTTTATCATGTCAGTAGTGAGTTTTTGTTTTATCATTAGGTATCCTATTATTAAGAAGAATACTATAGACAGCAAGTCTGTTACTATTGCCCTAATTATTATTCTATTACTCTTTCCCTGAAGATCACTCTATAGCTGTTGAATCATTCCTTTACAAAATATTTTCAAATGCAAACATGCTTTAGGCTCAAGTCAATTTCCCAGCTCCTGTAGGAATACAGAGTAATTACTGTTCTAAGTCTAGTGGTTGTTCTTCATACACACACAAAAAGCTCCGTTTTGTACTTTTATTAGGTAATGCAGCTCTTAGGCAAGATAGAGGCTTCCAGTTCTGAGCAAGCCTCAAATGTAAAGATGGTCCAGGGAGATTATCGCCACGAAATAAACCTTTTGGAATTCAAGTAAGTGAATGGAAGATTTTTAATTCTGTTAAATGCATTTCAAAGGGTTTTGCCTCATGAAAGAGTTGGCATTAAAATACTTTTCCCAGGAATATGAACTTGGCCAAGAAATAAAGCAACAAGCTGATGCAAAGAGAATTCTGCACTAACATAACTTATATAATATTCATAATAAAAGAAATATCAGTATCAATCTTGTCATTCCCTTTGTTTGCATAATAGCTCTATTGAATTGATATACTCATTCTAACCTTTTAAATAAAATAACAGTAAAAGAACAGTAATTTTATCTTATCAACAGTTGCATATTAAAATACTTTTTTTTTAAAAAAGATTTATTTATTTATACAAGCACTGGGTACAGTCAGAAGCTCGGGAGGGTGAGAGAATTCACCAGAGCCAGGGTGGGGAACAGAGCAGGCAGAAGGACCCAAGTACACTGCTGAGGGGAGCAGCGGGCAGCAGGAGAGGTCTGCACGCACAGCCGGGGATCGAACCGGCGCTGCAGAGGCCGCGGGCAGCTTTGCAACCCAGCGCTCAACCACTGCGCCACTGGGGAGGCCCTTAAAATACTTCTACACAAAGTATTATTGAAGATACATCTATTCCACAAGATTATCAAATAATTTTGACAAACTGTTCTTTTAAGATTCCTCTAAGATCCTCTATTTGCTCCTTCATATACACCCCTTTTAAAGACTGGTCTCTATTTCATCTTAAACTGAATTTTTCCTCTATGCAATAAAAGAAAGCAGTAAAGAAAACAAGACTCCACAAATACTCATATTTCTGCCTACTTATTATCAATATTCTTTTCTTGTTTAAATAACCACATGTCCCAGGAAGTGTGGAGCAAAGAAAGGAAAATTCTAGTTACTTGGATCATGCAACCTTACTGTCTTTTCAGCCTTTCTTCTTTTTCCTCCCTGTCCAGTATCACTTGGGGTTAATGCCTTGGTCAAATCCAGTTTTCTGATAATTCTGTTTTCTCCAAATTTCTCTATCTTTACCATATTTTATTATACCTAAATGCCATTGACTATCAGATGTACTATTATATTTTTGTACCTCTAAGACATGAAGCTACTAATTAAACCATGGCCACCATCATTTCAGGATAGCACCTGATTTCAGACATGTTAAGATGGGAAAGATGTGTGTCCTAGAAGTTGATGAAAATAATAATCACTAAAGACCAGAGAAGTAGGTGTCTTGAATAAACAGAAAATACCCAGTTTCTTCGTACTCTAATAAAGAATATCTAGGTTCTTAAATTCTAACACAATGATAATGCTCAGCAAGTATCCATGTGGTGAGTGATCAAATCCCTTTACTTAACAATTAAGAAAAAGTGTCCAAAGGAGAAGTATAAAAGTAAACTGTTTTAGAAATACAGTTTAAGAATTGGTTTCATTGGGGGAGGAAAAGTACTTAAAATCTGAAATGGAATACTGGTTTTAAAGGAGGAAATATATTAGCATAAAAAAGAGGGAGAAAGAGGATATTTGAGATCTAGGGCTAACTGCTTAGTGATGATGCTGTGATGGTGATGATGATGATGGTGATATTAATGATGTTGACATTGACCATGATGGTGATTCTTTTTTCCATCTTCAGTCCTGTGGGAAATTGACTTAGAAGCAAATCGTCTTAATAGTTAATCTGAATCTGGACACTTTTGTTAAAGTATAAACTTCAGTCTTTTTCTCACTTAAAATAATGAAGCTTTAAAATCCCACTAGTATTATATAGGTAACAACCTGAGGAAATAAATTGTGAGCTCTAATGATTCATTTAATAAATAAATAAATTGTGAGCTGTAATGATTCATTTAATCACACACTTGACTCTTAAATATAAAATTTCTCTCCACTGATTTTTTATGAAAAAATAGAATGCATTCAAGATAGCAGGCAAAATAAAACAAAAATGAAAAAAGAGGTCACCATCTCAGTTTCCTAATATAAGCAACATCAATGATATATAAATGTTAATATAAATATGGAACAAGGAAAAGGATATTCTACATTATATGGATGGAGAGAACACGGGTTTTAAAAATAAATCCTATACACTATTACTCAATAATTGATTTTTTGGATATTGCATCTTGCATGTCTCTCCAGATTAATGAATATTATTCTAATATTATTTTTCATAGTTGTATAATAATTTAACTTACAGATATGCAGTAATCAACCTTTTATATGTCTGATAAATAAACTCTTATTAGGTTATAGCTACCACAAACCAAAAAAATTTTATGTATACATCCTTAGATGACCCTGGAAACAGGTGCTTTTATCTCTATATGCAAGATTCCTAGGTAAAGAGTTTCAGGTATTTCTTCATTTTCATAAATTTCTTGCTAAATATGTTGTAATAATTTTCACCACTACCAGCAATGTTTAAGATTCTCTGCATTCTTGCCAACACTGTCTCTGTCTAATATTTGCCAATTAAAGGGTGAAATGCATGCATCTCTTGTTTTCATTTGCATTCCATTCACCATTTGAATTCCCTTTTCTGCAGATTGCCGATCTTTACTGTGTCTCAAATTTTGTACTGTGATTTTCATTATTTTCTTATCAATTTGAAGGATTCCTTCACATTAATAAGACTAACCCTTTGATTGAGATATATATTGCAAGTATTTTTTTCCTCAAAGAGAAAGTAGGTAAGCAGGCATGGTTTTTTCTCCCCCAGAGTCTTTTCTCAAATCAAAGTGAATGGAGTTCAGAGTTCTTTTCTTTTTTTTCTTTAAGAAATTATTGTCTCTGAACAAAGAGATTAGACTCATTTTAATAATATTAAAGGTAATTTTAATTGAGAAAGTTTCCCATTTAGAAATGTTAACAAAATTCAAGGTTAATAGTCAACTAAACATATTTTATATTGAACTTAAAACCTACAATGTTGTCTTGAGCTTGTAAAGAGAAACACAGGTTCTGTCATCCGAAATCTTCACTGAGTCTCCCCTTTCTGGAAGGGTCTTGTCAGATGTTCAGTGAAATTATGGTCTAAGCCAAAAATTTACTGCTTCTAGAGCAAAAGTTGGGAATCATGAAATATAACTGTCTTTTATCAAGGGCATGGCAGGATAACATCTACTAGTCACTACCTAGATAGCTCTTGCTCCTGCAACCATTTAATTGATAGATTCATAAAAAAGAACAAGTATTTGGTCAGTGAAACAAATGCATAAACTCAAATCTCATCACACACTTTGAAAACACTACCACAGTAAAAAGTTACAAACTATCCAATACAAGGACTTCTCTTATTCATCTTTTTATCCTCAGCACCCAGTACATCTAGACATAAATAGAAGCCAATTAATGAATGAGCAAATTTTTTAACACTCATGTGAAGTTGTGTTTTAGAATATCCAAAATCATAGTTATGGTGGTAAATAATTTTCAAAGCTAAACAGCTAGGAAGTCTCTGACTCATTATTTTAGAAATTGGAAAGATCACATCCCCTGGATATAATAGAAGATAGAGTCCTCCCTTGTGGCGCAGGGATTTAAGTCTCAGCGGTATCAGGTATCAAGCTATGGCCAAGTGCTGAGGCATGAGTTAGATCTCCAACCAGGGAGCTAACTCACATGGCACAACAGACCTCTCCTATCTTGCCTGCTGCTCCCCTCAGCAGTGTATTTCAGTAGATCCGCCTGTTCTGCTCCCCACTCAAGTCTCTGGTGAATCCTCTCACGTCCCGCACTTCTGGACTGTACCCCAGTTCTTTATCTCCCTGGCCAGCTGGGAATCAAACTCATGCTGCAGAGGCTGCAGACAGCCCCACTGTGAGGCACTCAACCCGCTGCACCACCGGGAGGCCCATAAAATAAATCTTTAAAAAAAGAGATGGGAGGGTATGAAGGTATTGGGATTTAAGTTCAAGTACAATTAGAAATCACCAAGAGCCAAGATTGCCTATCAAAGTGGAGTTGGAATTGCTTTTAATTAGTGTCACTGATTAGAAATCACAGAACATTAAGAAATTAGTGCAAGGCACATAGGTATAAACTTAGAAATTCTCTTTTACCCTTTTGTAACTTTCTCCCCTATAATTGCCATTGGTGTGTATTTTAACCTGATTCCACTGGTATAAAAATTTCAAATAAAACAAAAACAGCCCATATCTTATTATCCTAGGAGTTCTCTAGCCATAAATAATTTAAGTCTGACTTTTGTGCTCTGAGATAAAGGAAAGAAAAAGCAAGTTAACTATCAGGCAAAACCTCCTAATAAAAGGATCGTAAATAGTAATTCAGCCTTTATGGCTTTATCTTAATCCAGAATTTCATTAACCAATACGCTCTTCCAGAGATATTTCTTGGGCACATTTAATGATTCGTTGAATTCAGAGTGATGTTAATTTTGTATCAGTGATGAAAGTAACTTCTCTCATTTATTTACACAGTTAGAAATGAGCAATGAAGGCTGAATTCTGAATTATAAAGCTACCTCTGAGTTATGTGGGGATTTTCTGTCCCCTTAACCATCACTATATATTGTTTCTAGCATAGAAAGGGAAAAGAAGATAAAAATTAAAAATTAGGTCTTTGAATCACCTAATTAAAAATTAGGTCTTTGAATCACTTGAGAATTTCATGATTTGTTATTTGTGAACAACCCTAGTAAAGGTGGAAGCGTGAGTCATGTTTTCAACAACTATTTATTCAGCAGGTTCTATATTTCAGGCATTGTTCAGAGCCAGGAACAGAGCAAAACACTTGCTGTCATGGAGCTTAGGGTCTAGTGGCGAAAACAGCATACACATTAGTATATATCATATGGCGATAAGCATTTTGGAGAAGAATTAAACAGGGGAGGGAAATAGGGGGTATCAGGGAGAAAATAGGACTTTTTTTTTCCTTGTGGTCAAAAATAGCAAGCTTCTGTACTAAGGTGGTGTTTGAATATAAATCTGAATGAAACGAGGCAAGAGTCATTGCGTATACTAAGGAAAAGTATTCCAGACAGTGGAAACAGTTGGCTAAAATGAGGTTGCCCACTTATCAGCTAGGGGTTTATCTGTCTGAGAGCCAATAGCCGTGAGTCAGTAGCACAGATGTTTGGACACAAGATTAGATTAAGCAAAAGAAGAGCAACCAAATAGATCTTCTTTGTTATGGTCCTGGCCTGAATCAAGTAATGCTTTTTATGTGAAAAATATCACCGACTCTATCCAAAGTAATCTGTGGTTATTCAGAGAGGTAGAGATCAAAATCTAACTCTGATATAACAAATGTAGCTATTGGAAAATTAATTTGCATTTCCCATTCCTTCATTTTATTTTCTATATCTATGGTTCACAGTCTTGGCACTATTAGCAGTCTTGGCACTATTGGCTGGGGAATTCTTCATTGTGGGGCTGTGCTGTGGGTTACAGGATATCTAGCAGGATCCCTGGACTCTCCTCATGCTACTCAGTAGCAACTCCTATTTGGGACAACCAAAAATGTCCCCCAACATTGCTAAATGACCCCTGGTCTAATTAAAAAATGAAAATGCCTGCACATAACTTTTCTTTGCCAACCATTAGTCCAAACACTTTATACACATATACCAAAAACTTTATATGTATAGAAGAACTATACATATACATGCTATTGATGTGCAGCACATCTTAGCCATTTCCAATCATAAATATCCAAACTATTTGCATATAATTTTTTTCTGAAAATGTTACAGCAAATGTTATTCCAACCCATCCCCACATTGTAGCCTGAATAATTTTAAAAGCAAGCATTGTTCCTGCCCATCTAATATTCCTCCTACTTTAAGAGGAAATTTGAAATTGACACCTATCCAACCAGTCTCTTCATTCATTCCACCTCTTCTCAGTCCCATATTTCTCTGGTATTTCAGATGTCTGCTCAAACCCTCAACCTCTCTACGGTGACTTTTCAAATCTCTGTCATACATCCACTTCCATTTTTTAAAATCATTTAATGTTATTTAATACTTTTATGGCATATCAGCAGCCCCTTCCTGCACCTCTGCCTAGTATTTCTGTTTGTGCCCACATGAGTAACTCAGTACCTCTGCAAGCCTCTCCCCAAAGAATCTGCTCACAGACACCCATTGTTGGCAATGGGGAATTTTTCTGAATATTTCACCTGAGACAGAGATGACAACCTGGGAGTACAAAAGGAGTTTGCCCACCCCTACCACAGAGCAATACTCCTCACTCTGAGTGACTTACCTAAGTCTTTCTTCACACACAGAGAGGAAGTCTGCATAGATAACACATGCAGTTCTGAGTGGCTCTGTCTCTTCACTGTGTGTATTATGTTTTTTTAGGTTGTGTGTGCAGCAGAGGTGTTGGCTGCAGCTGGGCTGAACTCTGGCTGAACACCCCATAACTGCCAGCCATTTTGATTCTCGCCCTCTGAAAGGACTGCAGACATTCTCAATGTGAAGTTTTGGTTTTATATTTCAATTTACTTATTAAAGTAGAACATCCTATTTCCCCCCTTAGATTTAATTCACTTTCAAGTAATCTCTGTGAGGAAGTTGAAAACCTTCAAAAATGGACAGAAAATCGCTTCATCAAATATGAAAAAGACCACCTCGACCATATAAATCACTGTCTGAAACTCCTTCAGGAGAAGCTGGTAAGGAGCTCCCGTTACCCACCGAGGAGACGGCTGCTGAGCACGCTCTGACGCTCGTGATGGGGGAACGTCTCGGCAGAGGCACTTAGACGACGTTCATCTTAATCTTCCCCATGTAACTCGCTTGTGTTGTGGTTTGGTTTGGTTTGGTTTTAGTGCAGAGTAGAAATCCAGAGACCTAGCTTCTGGCCCTGTTTGCTGGTTCCCATCCTCCCAAGTCTGTGAACCCATATTTCTCAGAGTGTCCTCTACCTGTGCCAACAGAACCTGAAGTTTTTTTAAAATACAGACTCCTGAGCCCACCCACAGCTGAGGCATCAGCTCCTCTGGGGCCTCCCCAGGAATCAGTGCTTCCAGACAAACTCCCTGGGTGATGCTTAGATATCATAATGTTGACAACCTCTGCTTTAGACAAGTTATATAACTCCCTGGAGATCCTTCAGTATATCAGAGGTTTTCAAAACTTCTTTTCTAAATCAGATCTGGTAGAGAAACCCGGCAGCTTTGGAGTCAGACTACCCAGATATATGGGTGTCTATTGCTCACAGACCTCCTTTCTCCCAGCCCAACCAGCACAGCAGCCATCAGTAGCTGCCAGCCTTGCAGGACTCAAAAGATGTGTCTGGAATTTGAGTAGAGGGACTGTAGGCGGACAAGTAAAATATATCCCTCCCCCCTCCCTACCAGAGGAGTCCTAGAGCTGAACACGAGCACACAACTTTATCACTGATAAAGCTATCGAATTGTGTGTGGTCAGATCTATAGCCCAGAGGACCTACTAGCTCTTTGCTAGATTCAGGCTGACTCTTCCACCAGGTAGAAGGAGCCTGAGATGAACACTGGGTCACTTGTAGGCAAAAGTCTCCCACCACAAGGGACAGAGAGACTAGAGTCTTTCCTGAAGCAGGCAGGGCCAGAGCAAGCAGGACCAAAGGGACCGTGCCAATCTCACCCAGATCCTGCACCAAATCCCCTGGGGAGAATTACAAGGTGCTGGGAAGCCTCAGGCAGCCATTGCACCTTCGGTGCCAGTGCACCTTAGAATCACCTTGAGAGGTTGTAACTAGATCATTCCTGTCCTCCATCCTAGACCAATCTTCTCAGGATCTCTGAGTGTGGAGGATAGTCCAGGTAATTCTAGACAGCAGAGGTGGAGAATCATTATTCCAACTGAAGTCTACACACATTGAGCGATGAGGCTCGAGGGAATAAGATCACTTAACACCCAGGAACATGTCTAAGGAGCCCAGGTCAAGAGTTCTTTAAAACACCTCTGGCTACACTTGTTTAAGCACTAGACCAAAACCAAAACTTCAAGGCATTGCAGCAAGATCACAGCCCTTCTTTTCTTTGCTCCCTTAACATAAAGAATTCTAGAAACAAATGAACAAGGCCAAGCAAAGTGGGGAATTCTTACACCTGTGAATACAGATTTAGATACAAGACAACTGTTTGAATTTACTTGTTTAATGTCTTAACATTGAAGAGGTAATTTGTTAAAAAAAAAATCTCTCTAGGCTGAAATAAAAGTCCACATAGTTTTTTTCTTCTGCAGAGTTTTACTACACACTATCTTTTATAGGAAAAGTCTGAAAATAAAATGGAAGAAAAATTACAGAAGCTTTCAAGCAAATTAGAGAATTTTATAAATATACAGAAACAGGAAGCAGAACTAAATAAAGCAAAGAACATAGAAAATAAACTGTCCAAAAAGATGAATCAACTGGAAAAACTCATCTGGGGTGAATTAGAGAAAATGCAGAATGAATATCAATCCGGTGAGCAGAAATTTTGTTTCTAAATAATTGTCCTTATCTTTGTCTATTCAATTCCTCAGAGTTTTCTTCTTGGAGCTACTGGCAGGGATCAATCTTGTCATCAGTGATGTCCTTCAGTATTTAGCCTGACTTTTCTAAATATCCCATAGAATGCCAGCATACCACCAAGAGGTAGGGAAATAAGATCAGGCTTCACATTCCCACTCGGCAGTGTCAGTCTGCCTTTGCTGTGAGACATTTTTTACTCTCTAAGGTCCTAGAATCCTTAACTTGGAATCTTCTTGGAGATCACCAAGACCTAACTTATGGGTAGATCATGAAATTAGGTGCCCAAATCAAATGCCCCTCTCACTGAACTTCAGATAATGAGCCTGGACAGATGTCAGACTGGATACCTGACCTTTAGAAATGAGAAGGAGAGATGAATTAATAGAGTTTGTTATAATGACTCCTTTTCTTCTTAAGGAGGCTAATGGCAGCAGTGTCAAGCTGAGCTAACATCAAAGAGGATTAATTTGAAAGGCTCATCTAATTTGTCAAAGGAAAGGATGTGGGTTAGGTGCTGGGGAGCAGCCATCTGCCCCAAGTGATAACTCTGAAAGAATTCCCCAGGAATCAGAGGTTCCTTTAGTAGAGAAAATCCCAATTCATTTTCTGTCCTCTAGACCTCAGAAAAAAATCATGAGAATCTTCCAAATTTTGGCCTTGAGAAGCCATTGGTCTCTCTGTGTCAGATGGTCCTTGCACATAAGTAAAGTTTGCTGCCTGGAAAGCTGACTGGCACCACTCCACCCCTCAACTTCAAATCAAAATAACAAGTTATCTGCTCAAGAATAGTGTTCCAAATGTAATTCTCTTCTTTCTAATTAAGTATTGGAGATTTAATTTTTTTCATTCCAATAGTACAAACCCAAGATGATGGAAAGAGAAATTTGCAATCTACATGTTTCTGCATTTTGTAAAGTGGGAGTTTAAGAAACAGGACTCCAAACTAATGGTGTGTTCTTTCTTTAATGCCTTTAATAAAAAATGTGCTGAGGGACCTCCCTGGTGGCACAAGGGGCTAAAGTCTCAGCTCAGCACTATCAAGCTGTCGCCAGCCACTATGGCATGAGTTCGATTCCTGGCCAGGGAACTGACCCACATGGCGCAGCAGACCTCTCCTGTCTCACGGGCTGCTCCCCTCAGAGTGTATTTCAGTAGATCCACCTGTTCTGCTCCACACTCTGTCTCTGGTGAATCCTCTCACCCCCTGCACCTCTGGCTTACGCCCCAGTTCTTGTATGCATAAATAAAAATAAATCTTTTAAAAATAATAATAAATGTGCTGAGAAATGACTTGTGAAAGGCCCCTCTGAATAGGAAATAGCTTTCTTAAGAAGCTTGAGGCCTGGTCGGTCTGCAGTCCTGTGTGACTAGATGATGCAAGAGATGTGAAGTGCTGGGAAGTGAGGAGCAGAGAGTGGCTACTCTTTAGTCTCCCCCACACAGGTCACTTCCAGAGAAGATTTAAAGTCTCATCTGTGATGTTAACCTTCAAGTTGGTAATAAAAATATTTAAAGAAGAGAAGGAGGGGGAGAGAGAGAGAGAGAGAGAAATCCCCAAAACCTTTTGTCAAAGTACAGATAAAGAAAGGTGACTTTAGCTGGGCAGTTACTTCAGCAAATGTATCAAAATATAAAGAGGAAAATATTTTTCCCTTGAAATACAGAATTATTTTGTTATGCAATATATTTGGGGGAAGGAGAAGAATTAATTCTCACAGTGAAGCCACATTAAGTTGAAACATTACTGCTAATAATGCATCTTTATAACATACAAGAAATATATTATTCTACATTTTTAGACCAATCTTAAGAGAATTTAAAATGCTTTGAATTAAATGATGATCAAATATGGCAGGATTGCTCATTAGCAACTTTTTTAAAATATATATTTGGATACATTGTTTACGTATACCTTCTCATAATCTCTTTCAGGATTCAAATCGGTTCATGACTCCCTCAACTCCCTCCAACAAATACAGAAAACAAAGATGGATTTAGAGAAACATAAAGTACAGAAAAACATAAAGAAATTACAGCGTAAGATAGTGGAACTCCAGGACATATGAAACTTTCCAGTCATCATTTTCACCAATCAAAGCAGTAAAGAAATTGTAAAGTGTTGAGAAAAACTGGGAAGAATTTAATGTCTCTGGGATGTTTACTGTTTCTGTCCCTTTATTTCTTACCAGGCTTTTAAAGAGATGCACATACTAGAAAACCCAAATAAACCAAAGAAGCTTTATGTCTTCATTAACTTATTAATGAAAATATTAAGAAATTTCTTTACATAACATGTCTTTTTACATTTTTATTTGCCTACAAAAAAAGAGCAAGCTACATAACACACATAAATGAGTAAAATAGGTTAGGTATATTAAAGAAGTTTGGTAAATTGGACCCCCCCCCCAACTATTAAAGGAACCCTTAGTTACCATTTTGACTTGGTGGTGGTGTCTTGTCCTAAGGAATTGACATGGTCATTCGTAGAAATAGTCCTGGAAACCATTGTTACCTCAAAAGAGCAGCAACTTAAATTAGTACAGATGCTGACTGTGAATGACATAGATACATCCTCTAACCCAAATATATCTCTAACTCAACTTCTCTTTAACTGGATCCATAAATGTCCATAGCCACTGCAGGGGCACCGAACACAAGGAAAATAGAAGTGGAAAGGAATTATAGGCTTAGTTAATATTATAATTGAAATGTCTTCTGCACATTTGCAATGACCTTATAAATACATCGCTAGGACGCAAGTAAATAAGGGAGCCTGGATCCCAACAGCCATCATTTCACAGTAAATTCACCTCTACTCAGGGGACCAGTAGATACTGGGCCTCCCTCCTTTTGATTTATTATGCCATGGATCCAAAGAGAAAAGAAGGTGAACAATCCACCTGAGAGCAGTTTGATGTACATGACACCTTATTTTATATCAGAGATACTTAATTCTTTAGAAATGTCAGACTTCTCCACACAAGTTCAGAGGCTATTGGAACATTATAGAATTTGCAGTCCAGACCCACCTGTACACTTGAGGCAGATGTGACAATTTCTCAGATATTCCTCATTTAGGTAAAAACACCATCTAAGCAGGTTTGGATACTCCCAGAGTCCTATTGCCACCCAGCATTTTCTGTGATTTCCTTCCCCTTATCAAAATCTGATCTTAGTTGGAAAAATCACAAAACTATTTACAGTTATGAATACATGGGAATATTAGGCATACTTTGCTTTCCCATTTGAAGATGAAAGACAAATCCCTCACCTTATGTCACACAAGTAAGTTCATTCTCAGTCCCAAAGTAAGGTGGATAGCCGCCCACTAGCCTGGAGCGCAGTTAAGTCCCAAAGTCAAAGAAATAGCACTGCCATAGACACCTGCAGCTCTCCCCTCTTCTACAGAAACTTATGAAACATCTGCTCACTTCTACTGGGGCCATCCCCAGTAGGATCAAGTAGTATCTAAGAACATCAAGAAGTGGAGGGGAATAACTTGATCTATGTGACAGACAGAGACATAGACAGAGACACAGAGAGAGAGGTGTTTTTACCTCGTGAAGGTCATCCAGACTTTTGCAATGTACTATTTTTTTATATATCTTTCTAGCCTCCACTCATTCATATACGGAGCACTAGAGATACAATATTGGACAAACTAATCATGGACTCTGTCCTTAGAGAATTTATATTCTGGTGGAAATGCTCAACAATTAAACTCTCAATTAAGTTCAGTACAAACTGACTGTGAATGACATAAATACATCCTCTAACCCAAATATATCTCTAACTCAGTGTCTTTAACTGGATCAATGAATGCCCACAGCCACTGCAGGGGCACAGGACACAAGGAAAATGGAAGCAGAAAGGAACAATAGGTTTAATTAATGGCAAAAATGTGCCTAATTAAACAATAGGTTTAATTAATGGCAAGGTGCTTCCAAGACAGCACCTGGAAGACATATTTAGTAAAAAATGGGGACTCAGGAGAGGGTCTTCCAGAAGAAGGGGCATCTAAATTAAGACCTCTAAAATATGGGTAGACATTAGCCAAGGGAGAGGGGCTTGATTGGGGCGGGGGTGGGCCATGCTGATGGAGCAGCCTGAACAAAGCTTGGAGGCCACGAGACAGGAACATGTCAGGAGCTGCACGATAGTACAGGCTAAGCCTGATGTGCGTGTGGTGAGAGAGGCAAGGGAGGGCAACTGGGAGCCGGTAGGGAGTAGTGAGGGAGAACGTTGCAGAAGTTATGGGGAGTAGGGTGTCTGACTACAGAAGGCCTTGGAATTCATGTTGAGGTACTTAAGCTTTATCTTCAGGCCCCACTTTACGGGATTTTAAATAGGAGAGTGGCATTATCAGATTGTATTTTAGAGAAATCTCTGGCTGTAGTGTGAATACACCACAAACAGCGTAGGAGAAGGAAATTTGGGAGGAGGGAGAGATGACACAGAAGAGACAAGCTTAGTTTTAAGGTAATTGATTTTGAGTTATCTATGGGAGGTCCAAGTGGAGGTGTCCAGGGGTTGCTGAAAAACAACCTGGCACATGAAAATAGGAAATGGGGTGATAGCATAGAAATGGTCATTGGAGTTATGGGTAACGAAGGAAGAGACCAGGGTTGGGTGGGGTGGTGGTGAGAGTTGGGAAGACTATGGTGAAAAACAGAACCCAAGGCCATCTAACACTGAAGAAACAGAAGCCCTAATGAGTGTGTGGAACCAGCAATGACCAGGAGGGGGCGTCTCATCGTTTGGGGTTCTGAGTATCCCCTGGGAGTTCCTGCTGCAGATGGTGTCATCAATCAACTTCTGGTAGAGCTTTAAGATCTACGGCTAGATCTCTGCTTGCTAAAGAGGACTCTGTCCCACAAGGTAAGCTCTGAGGTTGGGTGGTTCACACAACCCAGGTGAGAACAGTTACAAACACTTTCCTGACTGCCCTTCCATAGCATAAAATAAATGAATCTTCTCAGACACTGAGAGGACACTGAACCCTCCCAGACAGCCAGATTGTTGCCAGGAAAATTTTAAGCTTTTGTGGCCCCTACAAGCTTGGCATTTCATAAACTATTCACCACTTCTTACTGTAAACCTGAGTCTTGTTGAGTTAATCGTTATTTTGAGCATAGTTCTTGAAAAAGTCTTCCAACCATACCCATAGTACTTTTTCTGAGGCAGTAGAGGGTTGGCCTCAGGCAATTCAGAAATATATTTGCTTCCTTACAAAAGCTGCTTTGACAATATAAATTTGCCTTCTCAGCTTGTGCTTTTTTCCCAGCCTAATCATCATCTTTCGACATGAAGAAGCTTCTGCTCCATCTGGCTTTTCTCAAGCAGAGACACTTATATGTCTCAAACACAAATTAGCACTGTAGCTTTGCACACTGTAGCTTTGCACACATAACTTGGTCTGCAAAGAAAGAAACCTATAGTTGTTTTTTTCCACAACTCTTGCCTTCTTTCCAGACTAATTTCGAAATGTCTAAAGGTCTACAGCCCTACGTATCTCTTTCTTGCTTCAACCGCGTTTGAACCGTACAAACCTGCTCCACCCACCCTCCATCTTTCCCAGTTAAAACCTAGGAGCCAGCTTTTTATCCATCTTCTCCCTCGAGAAAGAACCAATGCCATTTATTTAGTTTAGCTCCCTAGTGCCCACCAATGATGAGGTCCCAGAGTCATCGGAATTACTGCAGTGGTGTAGAGGCCATTGTTGACCATCTCCATCAGTATCCACAGGCCTGTTACACTTCCTTCTCGCTGGACTTTATTTTTACTGCTGCCATGTGGCTGTAGAGTTTCGGTCATTTCTTCAGGGAATTGGGGGAGTAGCACAGGAGTGCCCAGTGTCTCTAGAAGATGCAACACCAGCACAGTGCCTTTGTGGTAATGCAGAAGCCTTCCCAGATGGGGTAAGACTCTGGAGGCCTCAAACCACTGGAAACCTGGACAACCCAAACCAGACCCTTCTGGGTCTGCATGGCTGGGATTTCACCCACACGGATCCCATCTCTGTTCCTGCCTGGAAAGCTACTTCTTAAATAAGGTCAGACTCAAGAATATAGGGGATTACCTGACTAATCTTTGAAAACTGGTGTCCTCCAGGCCGGCTAGGCATTTCTCTGACCCATCCTCATGCAGCATTCCAGAGTCCAGACAGCTCAAAGGCTGCTCTGTTGCCACCCCGGCACCAGCATCCTGTTGGGGCTTCAGCTTGAGCCACTTCATGCCCCCCTAGCCAGTTTTAATCATCATGGAGTTCTCCCCAGAATCATAGACCAAAGGGTGACAAAAAAAATTTTCTGCAGTCAAAAGGCCTCAGAATTGACACACCCAAACCACCTCTATTTTCCCTTTCTTATTCTATTACAATGGGACAGAACTTTTACACCAGTATTTCAAAAAACCCAAAACCCTTTCATCACCTGCTATAAAACTGCATTGTTTTTCCATAGATTAAAAGACTGGATTTTGCATGATCAAAGGGAGGAGAACAGGGTATTAAAAGTAGGATTTTAGAAACTCAAGTTATTTAAGCCACTTGGAAGTCAGGCAGTAAAAACATGCTGTTTTATTTCATGTGAGTGGTCTTTCTGTATGAAGTGTAACCTATCTGGCATGGAGCAGGCACATGTAATTATATATTTAACAACTCATAACTTCTGGCTTTTATTAAAATATTGTCCCAGTGTAGGGCTACTTACTTTCTCCAGGTCCTAGTGCCTAGGACTGATTACCTTCCCTTCTATAGTAGAGGTTGCTTTGGAAAGAGGTCCTACTCTGAGAAGGTTTGTAAGAGGGGTTGGGAGGGTGGCTGCTCAGTGGAAACTTGCTGCTTCACAAGCGGTTTATTTCAGAATTTTGCTTCAGCGCATTTCTGAAAATTTTGGTGATCTTAGAACAACAGACCGTCATTAGAAATCGAGTTCAAGAACCTAATTTTACAAATTCACATAAATACTAAAGGCCAACAGATAAGGTTTTACAGTGACATATCCATTCAGTATTGAAATCCAGCTTGAAACACACCACTTAGGCTCTGAGAATGTATTTTAATGCAATTTCTTTTAAAAAGAATTAGAGTGAAGCGCTTAATCAACTATGCTGGTGATACAGTGCTGTAAGGAACATGTTGGGTAGGAATAGTTCAGACTCTGTTACACATAAACAGCCACATATTCTTAAGAATGAAATTCTTTGGATATTTATATTTTCATATTGACTATTTTACTAATTCATCATGTTTATCCAATGGCCCTTTTTGGACAATAATTTAGATGAGTCCCAATTTCAGTGATCTTGTGAAATTCAAATTCAAAGGAATTCATTTTAACAATACACACAATGAACAATGTACTAATTTCTCACTACTGCTGGAACAAATGACCACAAATTCAGTGACTTAAAAACAACATGAATTTATTATTTTATAGTTCTGTATATCTGAAGTCCAACAGGGGCCTCACCGGGCTACAATCAAGGGATAGGAGGGCTGCATTTCTTTCTGGGAACTTCACCGGGAGAATTTCCTTTTTCTACTTTCCAGAGGCTGCCCCGTGACATGCCTCATAGCCCCTTTCTCCATCCTCAGAGCCAACAAAGGTAAATCTCTCTAACCTGCTTCAGCTTCACTCCTCTCTCGGAAAGGCTCTTCATTTTTTAAGGCTAATCATGTTTGTGATTAGGAAGGGCCCACCTGGATATTCCAGGATTATATCCCATCTCAAAGTCCAAACTCTCAATCACTTCTGCATAGTTTCTTGTGCCAGTATTCACAAGTTCTGGGAATTAGGGCATGGACACCTTTGACAGCCATTATTCTTCCTGCCATAAGTGGAAATAGCAAGGTAAGCATTTTTTTCATTACCCATCTTCTCTGTAGAAAAATTAATAATTTAAATTATTTTAAATAATAGGCATCCTATACAGGTAAAGCATGAAGCTCAAATGAACCTTTTCACTATTTCAAACTCAGGAGAGACCAAGACATGCAAATTATTTCAATGGTTCAGTGATATAATATGGAACACAACCCTATTTTCAGTGACTACAATTTTAATTACCCATCCCCCCTCCCCGACATCATTTCCCTTCAAAACAAGCATTTACAATCTAAGTGCAAAATACAAGAAAAAAATATTTTAAATGTTTATTAGGGCTTTTTGTTAAAGAGATAACTTTCCATAAATTTCTTTTTTTTTTGTTTTGTTTTTGTTTTGTTTTTGTCCATAAATTTCTTACTTCAAAATAGTTTGTGATCTAAAGATACTTTAGCATTTATAAAAAAAATTACAATTGTATAGGGTAGTTGTTTATGTACATTAGAATTCAAAATAGTATTCTAAAGTTCCTATTCTAATCAGCCAAAGAAAGGAAACCCATTATTAGATAGCACAGGGACAGCTAGACACCATGAGTGATCTTAACAATGGAGATTACTATATTTGTATGTGATACAAGTATCTTCCCACAAAAGAAAAAGCAAAACAAAACAAAAAAATCTCACTGAAAACTAAAGGTCAGTTTGTAAGCAGCAGCTGAGTGTGCTTTGTTACAAACAGCACAAGAATCTGAGCAGTATTCTATCCAACATCAGCTAAAGTGGGAGAAAGGAAACACCAAGAAAAAGGGGTCAATTTTGCTAAAACAAAGTTCCCATATTTTCTAGTGAGCAAAAACTGAAATGGCTCTGCAAGTTAATACTGACTCAGATATAAAATTGTTTTATGTTCCCATCAAATTTCCACAAAGCAGAAATCAAACTTTCTATGGCACGTGCTTTCATGTGCAAGTATTACATAGCAAAAATATTTATCTAACTAATGTTTCGTACTGTTTTGAAACACATCTTTGAATTCCCTCCTTACACAATCTGAGTATTTCTTCTATCCAATTCTATTCCTAGTAATTAAAAGAAGTTTGTCAACTCAATTTGTAAAATGAAAAAAGAGCATAGCATTTCAAACTAAGGTTTTCTTCTCCTGACCAGAAATTACTGCAAGGATCTTCAAGATATAGGACAAGTGATCCCAAACAAAGAGATTGTCCTAAAAGTTTACTTATGAGATGTATTTCTCCCACAGGAAGTGATAATCAGATACCAAATTAACCTATAAACATCAAAATAATCAATAGCTAAATGGTGGATAAAAAAGCAGAAAATAAAATCTAATTCTCGAAAATAATAAAATACTTAATAGGAATGCTAAATGTTGGTACCTCCAGAAACAAGTTTGCATGTAATTTCTCAAACTTAGTATAAAATCTAAAGGAAAATTGTGGTCATTTTTAAAGTTCTTAGATTTTCATAGCATTGATTCCATTAGCATTGTGTTTGTTTTAAGCATGCCATTAGCACCACTCTCCTTTACTAATTAGAATAAAATGACAATATTTTTAACACTTAGCACAGATAGGACATGAAGTAAGCTCTGTAAAAATTACATGGTTAGGAGTGGAGCTCACAGTAACTGGGCAGCAATTTAAAGAGAATGTAGCAAACAAAAGAGAGAATGTGTCTACATCATGCAAAAAAGAATTACCTGAGCTGGTATTAACTAAGGTGTTTTCCAATCTTCCCTTCTAGAACACTAGGTATGAAGTCCCTGGAAGCAAGAGAGTCAAGTCTACCCCTTGATTTCAGGCCTGAACAAAGGCTAACCAAGTCCATAGTGTGAGTCAAAGTACCCCTGTGAAGCAAATGACACCCCAGAAGGCAGATGGAGAACATAAACTGAATCCTAAGCCTTTAAGCAGAGGGAGCCAGCTTATTCTGGAGGCAAAGGCTGAAGTGCTTTCCTGAGGAAGCAGGAGGGCACAGGCACCAGCACTGCACAGGCAACCTCTTGCAATATATCTCCAGATAAATCTGTCATTATTAAAAGCACTGATTCAGTTTCACGGTTGTGAGTATAAGGAAGATATGGGCAGTGAATGGCAAGTGTTTGATCTTGCTAAAGAAAGTAAAGAATCATCATTGGATTAATTCAGTGGCTCAAAAACCTAAATGAACATTAGAGTTTCTCAGGCTACCTTTAAAGTGCAGAGTCCTAGGTCTCCTCCTTAAAGATTTTGATTGCATAGGTGTGAACAAAATTCAGTCAAATTTGGGGATTCACCAAACTGTAGTTAGTTCAACAGATTAACCTCTGAACTACAATCTAATTACAGAATATTATCAATTTGTATAATCTCACAAAGCAACATGATGGAGCTACTTGTTTAGAAAAAACTACAGGCATATATTACACAACCACATTTTCATTCAATAAATTATATGTAAATGCCTGAAAATGTCTTTTTAAACCACAGATCCAAAGTCAGCAACATAGTTTTCTTCAGATATATAAAGGGATTTTTGAAAAAATAAAATAGCTATCGTACTTTCAAGTTTTAAAATTTGAAATTTAGAATTTATATCTGATATTTGATATTGATACTATAAAGAAATAAGACGCTTGTTTTTTCCTTTTTTTCCCAGGAAGTTCAAGTTTTCAACATAATTGAAGTAACTGCATGATCAATTAAATACTGTCAGCATTACTCTCCATTAATTTTTAAAATGCAGCCATACGCTTGAGTGTTTTAAATTATATAAACATATCCATCAGCAGTCTTGACACTCACCAACATTTATATTATACTTTTTCAACAGAAACTGAGATTGAGCTACTAGTAAAATAGCTTGTAAGATTATTGGGATTTTGTGATGAGTTGGTCTGCTGAACTCTAGAATTCACAGAAGGAATTAAGTTAAATCTTTCAATTTGTTTTTTAATAAATGAAATTCTGCATTGTGCTAATATGCTTTTGCATATTGTTTAGAAATATGGCTATTAAGGCTTTATTGTAAGGGATTACAAAAACATATCCTATCATGTACCATGTAAGATGAGAAAATAATACAAATAACCTGTAACTTCAGTGACTTAAATTATTTGAATGACTAAGGAAATCATGGTTTTCTTTTCATTATGGATTTCCCAAAATCAAAGATGTTTTTCAGATTAAAGGCAGATTAGGAGCTAGTGGAAAATTACATCCCTAGTTTATGACTTTTTTTTATACCTAAAGACTTAAAAAGGAATGCATGATTCTAACTACAGTTTTAAAAAATGTTGCTTTAGGGAAAGGTTCTGATTATTGTTTTACTTTTTCTGAAAGCTTTTTCTTTGCTTGCTAAGTATAAAATAATGCATGTTATTGTGAGGATAATTTCTGATTAAGTTCCAAAGTTCTTGTATCTCCGTGAGTTTGGGCATTGTTTATCAGCACCTGTGGGAAAGCACATACAGAAACATCAATAATTTGTTTATTTACAATACCTATATTTAGATTCAAAGAAGTCAAATATGCCAAAGGGCAGCAGACATTATCAAACCACTCAAGAAAGTGTCTGGGTGCAATCTTTCAGTCACTTTTGCTGAACTGTTCAAAGTTAAAATAGAGATAAAATAGAGGTAAGCAAATATGCCCAGTTGTTCAATTCGTATAGATGCCAACACTTTGATTGCTATTACTGTTGGCACTGTATCATTTTAAAGTTTTTGTTCAGCAGCTCTGCTTACAATACTGTCACTTCTAAACTCTTGCCCCAAAAGACCATTTTGTGCATCAAACTATGCAAATGGCATTGCTTGCTATTCTTTAAAACTAGTGTTTAGGTTCAAGGCTCTGTGAACAACCTTTTCATGACTTTCAACAATTTCACAAACCAGAAGATTTAATTTCAATTAAATATTTAATTCAGTTACTCATGGTAAACATCTCATTACTAAAACATTTTTTTGGTTGTTCATTTTCAAGCACTACGAAGGGTCTCAGATTTTGCTGCACTTGCAAGCTAACAAGTTTGCCTGCCAGTTTCATGGATACTGTTAAAAGACACAGGACATCTGGGTCAGAGATAAAAGGCCTTTATTACTCATGCTACAGCAAACAGCATGAGCATCAACATATTTGTATCAGTTTCCCCGTATCACTGTCTCATGGGGTTCATGTATGGATGCATATAGCTTCCATGTATACTGGGCTGCATTATATGAAAGGAGCCTTAACCTAGGAGACTTGAATCTCTTATAAAACGGGCCATAAACAGGACTACCTTTTGCTCTGGAGGGAGACACTTAATCTCTGTGTCCCAAGGCTGTCACTGTACAAACATTTTGAAAAGAATGTCTGGAACAAGGGGCATTGAGGCCCTCTGCTCACAGGATATTTAGAAACACAGATCATCCATGGCTGAATTATCTTCCAACATTTATACACATTCTAAGTTTTTGGTTTGCAATATGTTGATTACAGTGCATTTCTCCAAGCATTGTTTTTTATTAATATTTCTTTAATGATGTATGTGTCACTTAAAGGCAAACTCTTTCAAATACTCTGGGTACTTGAAATAGATTAAAAATTTCTGATTAAAAATGCTTTTTATTAATTTCATTGTGCTTTTTATTAATTTCAAGATTCTAAAGTTACAAGACTCTTACAGTTTATCTTTTAAAAAACAATTTTAGGGCCTCCCTGGTGGCACAGGGGGTTGGGCGCTGCACTGTGAGGCAATCCGTAGCCTTTACAGCAAGAGTTCGATCCCCGGCCGGCCAGAGAGAAACCCACATGGCGAAGCAGACCTCTCCTGTCTCTCCCGCTGCTCCCCTCAGCTGTGTATTTCAGTCAGTCTGCCTGTTCTGTTCCCCATTCTGTCTCTGGTGAATCCTCTCACCTCCCGCGTCTCTGGCCTGTACCCCAGCTCTTGTTGTGTATAAATAAACAAATCTTAAAAAAAAAAAATTTTAGATATATACATGTTTATATATAATAATTAGATATCAGACTTGTTTCATGAATGGTACAGTAGAAATTATCACATGCATTTTACAGGAAAGATGAGAAATAATTTTTCCAAAGATATTATGAGCACTCCACTATAATTTGCTATCTCTTACCACTATCCAATCTATTTGCCTCCATTACAATGGCCATAAGAAACATCACAGCCAGCAGCTAGCACTTTTGTCTGTCTTTTCTTAGTCTACATGGCACATTAGGAGAATGTATTTCCTACAAGTTATCAGTAGTTCTTTACCAGGGGCAATTATACTTCAGTATCCTTTGGCAACATCTAGAAGATACTGTTCATTGTCACAAGTTGAGTAGGTAGAGGAGGACCATGCTGCCGATATCTAGATGGTTGAGGTTGGGAACATTGGTCAACATCCTACAAGCGCAGGACAGCAGCCCTTACCCTTCCCCCAAGAAAGAATTATCCAGTCCAAAATTTCAGTAGTGCTGAGGCTGAGAAATTCTAGGTTAAACAGATTCTAAAGGCTGTATCACATCCCTGCTCAGGAAAAGAAGAATGAGAGCAGGAAGAGACAAGGCCCCTGTGGTAATGTCAATAAAGACCCTTGTATGCTTTTGCATCTTCTAGCCTACTTGACCATTTTTAAAAAAATTTATTTATTTATGCATACAAGAGCTGGGGTACAGGCCATAGATGCAGGGGGGTGAGAGATTCACCAGAGGCAGAGTGGGGAACAGAAAAGGCAGACTGACTGAAATACACTGCTGAGAGGAGCAGCGGGCAAGACAGATGTCTGCTTTGCCATGTGGTCTGCTCTCTGGCCGGCCGGGGATCGAACTCGTGCTGCAGAAGCTGCGGACTGCTTCATAGTGCAGTGCTTAACCCCTTTTGCCACTAGGAAGGCCTCTACTTGACCATTTTTATTTAAACTTTTGACTTTTGCTAGAACTTCCTACCCTGTCCATTTCAAAAAATGAAGCAAATGTATAAAAGAAAATGAAAGAGAGGTAGTATAGTTAGATCATTCCTTTGTGGCCAAAAAGGAAAAAAGAAAAAGTTGATTTTTGATACTGCCCAAGGTTGGGTTAAAACAGTCAGATATCTGTACTACTATCAATTTCATTAGGCAATGACTATAGCTCAGCAGTTCCTAATTTACCAGTGATATTATCATTGGTTCACAGAAAAAGTATTGTCAATAAAGCAAGCTCCCTGTAACTTTTCTCTTTCATTTAAGAATGCACTGACAGAAAGGTGTATAAGGCTATCCATAAATCTGCTGTATTTTACTACAGAAAAAAAAAGTAAAACCATTTTCACTTTGGTTTACATCCAATTACTTACAACACACTTAACAGCCTAGTATGACCTCAAAGTTTTAAACCAATGTCCCAAACTAAGTATTGATATTCATTTGGATTCTGGCTTTGAATGGTTATATTCAAAGAAAAATTAGTATAGCTTCCCCAACTAAAAGCATCCTGTACATAATACATGTTGAATCCACGTTAAAATAACTTTTAAATACAGCCTTAACAGTCTTGTTTATGCCAAAGTGTTCCGTTTGGGCTCTATTCCAATATTCATATGGAGAATTTTCTTAACTTTTTGTACCTCATGAAAAGGTACACACTATATGTATACTCACCATCAAGCCATGTCCACAAATGTTCTGCTACTTTCAACAATAGTGGACATTGTAGTCTTTTGCTGACCCCTCTACTTTCATAGATAGAACAGTAGACATATAGTCCTTTCTTAACCAAAGAATTCAGGTTCTTTTTTAAAAATTCAACCATAGAGGAATAATTTTGAAAAACAACTCTAAAACCCTAAGGTCTAAGAAGAAATATTTTAAATAAAAGCAATGCCTTACATCAATGAGCTCGTAGTCATTCTTGGCATGTAAGTGTCTCAGTAGGTACCAACGTGCAGTTGATACAATAGATTTGGGATATCCAGGCTGATACACTACTCTCTCCAATAGCCGCCTTGTCTCCCTGGGACAAAGATATTTACATTTAGTTCAAGGCATATAAATTAATATTAATATAAAAGAAATTTCATATGCTAGTCTCACATACTTATCTTCTCATTCTTTTGCAGATGTGGTGCTAATTAATTCATGATTTTTTTATTCATGTAGCAATAAAGGTTATAATAACAATTAACATTAGTGAAGTATTTATTATGTCCAGGTACTATGCAAAGTGTTGTACACATATGGTCACATTTAATAGTCATAATTCTGTAAGGTATGTTGCTGTTATTATTCTCATTTTGCAGATAAGTTATGGCCCATTCCAAACAGAGAGGGGAAAAGACACCTATTTTATGAGCACTTGTGAATGCTCTACCTCCAATGTTTTTTTGAAAATAGAAAATCAGTAAGTCAATAAATAATATAAAAATAAATATGAAGAAATATTAACAGTGGACACATGGAAGAGGCTGTATATAATATCAGACTTTTAGTAAATATTTTTAAGAACACATATAGTATGTGAACCCATGTATTAACAGGCTGATTTACAGCTATATTCCAATTTTTTCATTCCTAACTTACTAACATATATGACTCCAAAGATTTCTGTAATGCTGGTAGAAACAACATAAGTGGTGGTAACTTCAGAACTGCTCAGTAGGAGGATCTTATCAATAGCAACTGCTTTTGAAGTAAGAGCTAAGGAACTTGTCTTGAAGATGCTTCATTTCCTGGAGTTGAAAATGAGGAATATTTCCCTCCCTTTCCCTAAAAAAGAACAAAGAATCTATATACCTAGCTCCCATTTTGCGGTTGAACTGTAACAAAGCTTGCAAAAGAACAGCCAGTGGACAAAAGCAAAGTTTTAAGGCTTCAGTTGTAGCTTCTTGAACTAAGGATGGCCAGTGGTCATTGGAAATATTAGCCTGTAAAAATATAAGACAAATATTAAATCAAAGCTCTTGACATGTTTGTTTTAAAATAATGCAATTCAACGCTCCTTTATTGAGCACCTACTTGTCTGAGTAACCCTGTGAAGTCTGACACAGCATGATTACTACAAGATGGTTAATATCTGATTCCTGGCCTTAAGGAGCTACAAAACAGGGTAATCTAGGATAAAGAAAGGTTTCAAAGAGGGGACAGAATTAACACTATTCATTAAAGGAAAATGGACAATTTTATCACATAATTGAACGAAATCAGTATATCTTTGGTCTCCCCGATACACAAAAGTCAATTTAACATGAGTCTTTCTTTAACCAGTGGTGATAAAGGTCCACATACTAAAAATTATCTAAGTCGAAAGGAAAAGCTGAAATATTTTAATAAAATTCCAATACAGAAAAAAAGGTGCAAAGCAGATCAGTGATTAAAAAAAAATTTAATCAAAGTGATTAATACTAAAATGTTTTTAAATAATTTCACTTTATGGGGAAAGTGTTAAGGTATCCATACATTACTTAGGTTGAAAATTTTACTTTCTTATGTAATGACTCAGAAATAACATAGGTTAGTATTTCCTAAGAAACAGTAATTAAGAATAAAATGGTGAACACTCTACTGAATTATAAAAGAAAAAACTGCCTTTAAAATCTTTCATTAAAAATCTCAAATTGTAACCAAGACTTCATAATTACAGGAACCTAAAATATATCTTTTGATAAATCAATACAATGAGTCAATACATAGTCCATTTTAAATATTAAATTATTTTTACAAAGTTAGAGCAATAAACTCTGAGTGCAATACAGGCAGTCATAATTTGTGATCAAGGAAGAGGAAGTTATAAAAATAATGAATTTGAAAATATAGGACAGAGGTTGTGAGGCATTTTCTATGAAGACGAAAACAATGGGACCTTGGGAAGAGCTGATAAAGAAAATAAGGCAAAGTCCATGCTAACAAAATTATTATTGACTTTTTTTAAAAAGCCAATAATAAAACTTTTACTAGATGATTTTGTAATGTATTTCCAAATTCTAAGAAGTCATATAAATCATTATGTAAACTAAGCCCAAAGAGAATATAAGGAAAAGATTTTTATATGTAACTGGTATATTGAAAATGCAATTAAAATGCACTAATTTTTGTTTCCCATTATCTCTTTTAAGTCATTATCCTCTGTCGCTGAATGCAAGTGAACAGATAGGTCCTAAAACTCTTAGATCCATTTTTCTTAACCTTAATTAGAATATTCTCTTCAATAATCCCTTCTTTATTCAAAGGTTTATTTGCACACCATCCTTCTCTCCTTCACTCTCTGCTACAGGTACAGCTACAGGCAGCAGCAGATGACCTGTTCCTTCTCCCCAACACTCCCAGCATTTTCCTATTAATTGTAGTTTCAGATCCCTACTGAATTATCAGTTTAGATTTGACTAGTGCCATTATAAGGTGGTGTTAGCTTTCTAGGCGTGACAGGTTACATAAAGCTTTTTTTCATCTAAACTTTATTGGTTTATCGAGATCCCCAACATCATGGGTTGTTTCTTACCTGCCGGGCCAGTTATGTAATCTGTGGGACTAGTATAAAATAAAGGCATACCCCTTTGTGCAAAAATGCAGGGCCCTTTATTCAAAAATGATTAGGAATTTCAAGATAGTAGCTGTACTCAAACAAACATGGAGCCCTGGGTAACTGCACATGACACACACCCATGAAGCCAGGCCCGCTCATCTGCAGAGCTTTACTAATTGGGATGAACGCACTCTTGTCCTCTTACCCTCTTACTCTCTCTACATCCTGCAACAATCTAGCTTTCTGCAGAGATCACATCACTCCTCTTGGTGGGCCCTACTGGATCCTACGCCAATCCATCTGAAACCTGGCTTCCTTCATTCCTAGCTTGAACAAACTCTAGGAGTGTTCCCTATCCCTTCTGGCATCAGCGCTCCTTCACTCCTTCCATCCTCCATCCTCCCCACATTGGAATCCACCCACTCCTGGCTATTCTCTCCCAGAAGCACACAGTCAGTCTGCACAACTCTCTTTTTCTCTGTCCTAACACTGCAAGCAGAGAGCCACAGCGTCTAAAGCACAAGTCAGACAGCTGTCTATGTGCCTCCAGACATGTGCTTCCAGGACCCTAGAGGTCAGGTAGCAAAGCCTCCCTTTCTGGCAGTGCTCCCTTCCTCACCTTTGTGTATCTCTAAGTGGAAAAGTGCTGAGAAGATGAGGGAGTCAAGAACTGTCTCCTAAGAAATTTCTTCACAATCTTTTATAACTTAATACCTTTCTTCACAATACTTCATATCTTTCTTACAGGTTAGTCTTCTCACTTTGGAACCTGATATTTAAATTTTAGCTGAAACTTTCAGTTTAAAATCCTGTTCATATATGATATCACACATATAGGAACCTCTCTAAAAACAATCTAATTTCAATATACCTATGATATTGTGACTTATGTAAAATATAATCAAAGTATATTTTTACATATACTTGGGTCTTCCTCCAAGATTCCTAGCGCACAGTTCCAAAACCCTTAGAATTTCCCGTGTTGAGAGTGAGAAAGGATGTTTATCTATATCCTTTACCATCAGGATTCACTTAACTAATGGGGGTATATTCTGAGAAATTCATCACTGCTGTACAAAGGCCACAGAGTATAATCACACAAACATAAATGGTATATTCCTACTACACACCTGGGCTTCTACACACCTCAGCTTTACAGTACAGCCTACTGGGATGGCCATGCATGCTATGTATGTGTGTTGACTGAAATATCGGTAAGTGACAAGTGACTATATTATGTCCTTTTATAATAAGCTTGTTATCGGGTAAACAAACGGTTTCTCTGAGTTCTGTGAGCCAATACAGCAAATGAATCAAAGCCAAGGAGAGGGGCGGAGGATCTCAGGTTTCCAGCCAGTGGACAGAAATACATTTGAATTCTGAAGAGGAGCAAGCAGGTGTGGAAGGATAAGGGGTGGATCCAGTCTTGGAGGATTACACCCTTAACCTGTGGAAACAGATGCTATCTCTGGGTAGATAATATCAGAAATGAGTCAAATTATAAGACACCCAGCTGGTGTCTCAAGAACTGCTTATGGGTACAAGGAACATCCCACCCTCACACATAGGAAAATGGGTCTCAGAATACCCACTTAATACACATCCTCTGTACTTTGCCAGCTTTATCACAGAAATATAGCATCTATTTTATTCCCTTAAAACAACTATTGGCTGTCAAATTTTATAATAAGCATAAATTAGATTTGAATAGTGCTTAAGCTTAAAAAAGGCATTTATTTTGCCCAAAAATAGATGACTGGATCAAGAAGATGTGGTACATATACACCATGGAATATTACTCAGCATTCAAAAAAGATAAACACATGCAATTTGCAGCAACATGGATGGCGTTGGAAGGGATCATGCTCAGCGAAATAAGCCAAAAAGAAAAAAGAAAAATACCGGATGGTCTCACTCATAGCAGGAATCTAGAAAACTTAAATAAGGGACCAGGAAAATGAATAACTATAAGAAAGTGAAAATCAAAATCAACAAAAAACTATGAACCAGAGACACTTTTTGGGGGGTGGGGGCGGGAGGGGAGGGATTGGGGTCAGAATGGGGCGTTTGCAATTGTATGGGGGAATATAAAAATAAAATTTGATATTTAAAAAAAAAAAAAGGTAAAAAAAATTAAAAAATAAAAAAAGGCATTTATTTGTACATGTTATTTCATTTGATATTCATAAGCTATAAGGAGGCAAAGTAGGTATTACACCCACTATTGTAAAAAACAGGGGGAGGGGCTCAAGATCTCACAAGTAGTAAATGGTAGAATCAGAACCAAGGCTCTTACAGAAAATAGTTTTGTAGTAGTGGGAGTGGGTAGAGGAGCAGGTATATATGGGTGTTACCACACTGCAAGTTAATTTTCTTATCTGTAAAAAAGGGTTTTTGTTACTATTAAACAAATTAGTATGTGTAAGGCACTTGTATAACCATACAGGCCAAGGGATATATATATGTTTGCTACTATCATTGCTATTACTATTTTATTCCAAGTCAGATTTAATTTTTCAGCATTAACAACAAAAAACCACAACATTAAATAATATTTGTTAGTGAACAAATAATGCTAGATTAAAAGGGTATCTACTTCTCCAATACATGTATTTCAGAAAAATTATAGTTAACATCTGTAGCTTCCAAATTTCACCAGTTACCAACATCATAGACATTTGTTAAATGTAGATATGGGGACCAAAGAAAAAACCCAAAATGTTTGGTGGTCTACAATTACCGTTAACCACTGTAGGGTAAATGTTTTTCAGGCTTTTCTGCCCTCCCATCATTAGGATTGCCCTGCCTGATGGGGGGCCTGCAGTTGTTATATTATTGCAAGCTATCTTGTTTACATCTGTGGGCCATGGGAAGTGTATTGAGAGACAGTCAGGGAGAGAAGCAGCAGCAGGAGAGAAGCAGGAGAGAGAAGGGGCAAAGTAGGCCAGAGAAGTCCAGGATGAAGGCTTGCAGGGGAGCTTCGAATCCTACCAGCCTCCTGGCCCCCAGCACCTCTGCCTTCTGTGAACCTGGTTGCTGCAATGCATGTAAAGCTTAATAATAGCCTGAGAAACCCACCGAGGGCTCTAGGACTCTCCTTTACCTGTTTGCTTGGGTCATAAAGATCCTGCACAGGTGGGCCTCCCCGGTGGCGCAGCGGTTGAGCGCTGGGTTGCGAAGCTGCCCGTGGCCTCTGCGGCGCCGGTTCGACCCCCGGCTACTCCCCGGCCACCGGAGGAGGGTCCCACATGGCGCGCAGACCTCTCCTGCCGCCCGCTGCTCCCCTCAGCAGTGTACCTCGGTCCTTCTGCCTGTTCTGCTCCCCACTCTGGCTCTGCTGCTCCCCACTCTGGCTCTGGTGAATTCTCTCACCCTCCCGCGCTTCTGACTGTACCCAGTGCATGT